GTTAAAGAGGTTGAGAGTTTCGCAATAGCATCGAAGCGCGTCTCTCGATGGCAGGAATAACTCAGTCGGAGCGCGCGCCGATAAAATTCCTCTCTTTCGTTGTTCGCCGCGCTACCCTCTACTTACTTACCCCTATTACCGGCGAAATGCGCCGAATACTCGAAAACTATAAATGTATTATAAAGTTTAAACTTTTCTTACTGCGATAGCAGGCGCAGCGGCGAAGTAGGCAGCGAGTTCAACTAAAACTTTCAAAAACCTACCCTTATAACACAACGCATCAAATTGAAGCTATTCATCACCGCTATTTTAATACGTAATATTCGCGAAGAAGACCAACAACATTTATCATTCATTTTATTATACCGGAAACTACGCGAACTGATAAGTGTTTGAATGGTTTTCCGTTTTTATGATAAACTTAAGGGTATAAGCTGGAAATTTGATTGCTTAAAACTTTCTTGGAATACTTTGAATGATTGTGTGTACAATGAATTTCTTTCTTTTTTATTAATGCGTATGAATCCGGACGATTTTTCTCTGACACATCGATACAAACGACACGTGCCGCGGTTGAATGAAGGCGAAATGGACAATCGTCAATCGGCGTATTCGTCTTCCGCCACATCCGCCATTTTTCAACGTCCCCTTTTCGTCGACGCGGTCCATTTCGTAGCTTTTGTCCGCCATCATCCACTTTACGCGAGACTCAAAGACTAAAAACGACAAAGCGTCCGCCTACGACAATAAATATCCATTTGTAACTAATATTAACCCTATGCGCGCGCGCCTCCCTCCAAACATATGCACTTTGCGTGACCTAACCACACTCCTGCGTGTATAGTGAGTGTGTGACATGAGCGCGCGCGCGGGTGTGTATGCAACGACTAACGACGAAAATGACAATGGCACTGTGCGTTCAGCGGCGAGAAGCGCAAATGCGAGTCGTAATCCGGCCGGCATTAACGGCAATTGTAATAATCTTGATTGCGATCCGCAATAAAGCGACGAGGGGCGCGCGCCGCCGCCGCCATAAATACACATTAGCGGTTTATTTAAAGACGCAAACACGCCTCGGATTCGCTATCGAAATGCATTAATTTTCGGCCCCAAGAGCTTTCAAACCGAACGCGAGTGCTGTATTATCATAAAGATGCATAAAACAAGTATTAAACTTGTTTGAACTTTAATAAAACAATTGGTGTTTGTGGGAAACCACTGAGAAGCTTATTATTGAGGTTATAATTCATAAGTTTATTAATTTTTTGTTATTTTTAATTGAAAAAATTATTTTGGGCCCAAAAAATCACTCCATAGTTAATATTTGAGGTAATATTAAATGAATTTTAGTGTTTGAGGTTATATTTTGAATTTTGGTGTATTTTCTGAGCGTTTTACTACTATTTTCTGTCATATTGTGAACTCTACTTCAAAGTCAGTCGATTAAAGTTTAATATTGAGGTTATGTAACTTTTTTAACCTTTTGTAAACATTCAGCAGCTACCAAAACATAGTAGCCGGAATATTTTGCATTATTCTTTGTTATTTGTTGGTTCTTGATTGTTTTGCGTCATTTTCGCTTGTTTACATTGTGTTTCCGGGACGCTGTGCGTTATACTTTGCGCGGTGCGTTTGTTTTCCACCATTTTGCGATGCGTTTTAGTCGTTTTACTGCCGCGCGGAGAGATTTATAAACCGAAGCGAAGCGAATTTCGCCCTGTTTTATGTCGCTCGCGTTGCGCGCTCTGCGTCCGAAATGAAACGCATTAATTCCGGCCGCAGTCTCGCAACGAGAACATAAATACGACCGGCTTACCTCGATTAAATAAAACGCATCGCGGCTCACTCCGATTGCATTGTAACCAATGGGTATATAGCCAATATAACCGGCAGTGTAAGCAGAGCGTTCGATCGCATCCAGATTGCTCCATTCCAACGCGCACATCAATTGCACCGGGGTAGTTAGGTGGTGTTGATCCAGCCAGAGATCAATCGCATTAGCATACTAAGCCGGTCCATCCACCAGACTTGCAGACGGACGCACCCTCGGCTGATGCAAACCGTATAAACCTTATTCGCTTGTGAACGAAACCAAGCAGAAAGCAGAAACATCAACAGTCAACGCGAAAATCAACGCGATACTATTGCTAATATTAAGCTAAATATACATCATGGAGACATTTGCGCGAGGGGTCGACCCTTGTACCACGTTTCGATTTCGACTTGCTAGAGAGAAGGGTGGCTTTTGAATTAAAAAGCACCGGACGCGACGGACAAACATGCGGGGCAGATTGGGGACGCTGATATACACCACCCCCCGGATGCGTTTAGCTAGCAACTAAAATACCAAGCTACCCCTCTTCGCTCGCTTGACTTTAAAATTGTTTAAATTGCAAAACAGCGTAGTTATTCGCTGACGCCGCTAGTCTCTGCGTGTCTGCAAGTGCACTGCATAGCGAAACGATGCGAATTAATGTCACCCCATCCTAGTGGCGTGCAAATGAGCAACCCTCGAACGTGCCAGACATGTCAAACGAACGTTTTCCGTTTCAATACGGACGAATAACTTGCGAATCCGATTAAATTTTAATTTACGCGTAACAAACACGTCTTTCAGGGTTAAAAATTAGGATAAATCAGAGGGGTAAACATTTTGGGAGCAGAAATAACTATTTATTTGTTAATAATTATTATTTTAATTCAGAAATGTTTAATTCTTGTTTGGCAGAACAAATTGGAAGTTTGAATTCATTTTAAACGTAAGTTTTCTGTGATTTAATTTCAATGCTGATATTAATATCGACACCTATCGGCGCAGTTCTCATTTATCCTTAACGTGGTTTTCTACTATTATGAGTTTAGTTCTAGATAGCAGATGTCGCTACCAGTATTAAAATGAATCTGGAAAATAAAAATTCTCATTTTTCGTGAAATTTTATTTACAAATTTAGTTAATAATTTTAAAAATAATTTAATTTTATTATTCATATTTGTTATTAAAAAAATAAATTTTAAATTTGTTAAACACCAGAGTCTTTTCTGATTTACTTTCAACATTGGATATTAGTGTCGACACCTATCGGCGAAGGTCTGACTTACTATTGACTATCGTTCTGATGAATATGAGAGTTTGAACAATTGCATTCAATCTCAAATCTTGTGCATCGTCGATGTACTTTTAATAAATTTCCAATAGCTAGGTGAGCGTCTAATATTAGTTGACGTAGAAAGGCTTGATTTAGAGAACTAATTATAGATTCATTGTGATGTACCAACAAGCATTTTATTAGTTCCGTTTGTAGTTAAACAATGTCGCCACCAGTATTCGAAAGGAAGCTGAATCAAACGGAATACAAAAAGAATTTGTATTTTTCTCGTAAATTTTACTTAGAAGCCTTGTTACAAAGTAAAATAACCGAAAACATGAACTCTTAATTTGGTTGTGCCAGATGGTGCACGTCCACACTTTGCAACGCTTTCGATATTTTCTTTTCTTCAACGGATAGAAACCGCGTGCGGTACCCGATTGCGCAATGCAAATAGAAATCATTCTCTCATTATCCGCGAAGTGTGACGAATGAACGCGCAACGCACCGCAAAAGAAGCAAAAATTCAAATTTCACATGTTCACACGAACTCTAACGATTTACATTCACATTTTGTCTTTAGACTGCAAGCCAAACTGCTAAAGTTAATTTAATCAAAACATTTTCAAAAGATATTATTGATAAAAACAAAATAATTTGTAAACAGTGAAAAAAATATTAAAATGAAGTAAAAAAGTTATTCTGGGAGTGTTCGTGTTCGTTGTTTTAAAGTGTGGACATTGTTGACATTGAAAGATGAGCCTTGACATGATGCAAAAGATTACACACCACCTTAAACATAAAGTCATCAATCAATCAACAGTTAAATCTAGGAGCAAATTGCTTCGTTGCAATAGCAAAAAGTGTAAGTATATGCCTCAAGCAACCAAAGTCACGATTATATTGTTCTGTTTATGATGTCAGTTAAAACACCTTAGACTAAAACTCAAGGTGGTTCTTTTTTGTTAATATAAACTTAGTACATAATTATATTATACGTACATAATAATTTGTATTTGTAATATGGTCATTTATTTGCCTTGAAAGAAGAAAAAACGCAAAAAGTGCATGTAAAATGTAAATGCATCAAAAATATTTATTATCGTTGCAAAATAGATTCGTATTACATTTGATGTAAGCATTCAAAGTATAGCAGAAAAAATATTTAATTTATAATATAAAAATGAATCACAGAATGTGTTGGTAAGCGCATAACTCAACAATGCCTAGACCAATTTGGCCAATTCTTTTTGAAAGTGTTCGTTAAAGTCCAAGGATGGTTTTTACAGCGAGAAATATTCGAATAATTAGCGGGGAAACTCTAAAGACAGTCCTTTTCTATAGGATAAAATTTGGCATTGAGATTCAATTATAGTTATAGTTAAATAGGTGAATCCGAGATGGCGCGCTAAAGTGCATTATTAACCATTCTTTATATAATTAATTTGTTTAAAATAAAATTGCGAATCTTATTGATAGAATTGACACATACTATGTCTAGAACAAGAGAGTAAAAACGAATTACATTTTTATTAAACACTACCAGGACTTTCCTTTACCAGGACGAAGTCGCGGGCAAAACCTACCACTACCCTAATTATTTTTAATTAATTACAAAAGGTGCAACATTCTCTTGAGAAATCATAGATTAATATTTACCTGTTGAATATTCCACCTAATCAACATATTTTTATTTATTTTTCTCTTTTTCACTTCGGCTAATTTAATTTTCAAACAAATAATAAACGTTTTTTGTTATAATACATAAATCGTAAAAATAACAAATAACAGTGTGAATTACCAATGAATTAATTTGCTTACGAATGCATTTATCGTTAATTTACATCGCGTATTCTTAGTGTGCAAGCACATCATGACTAGTGTGATTTAATGTTTTGGATTAGCGTCAGTCTTAGTTGAGATTTACTTAAGCCAAGACGCATCAAGCAATAATCCTGTTTTTTTTTAATTCAATAAAATCTATATAATTCTGTAGAATCAATCTGATAACAACATTTTTAATATCAATAAATAATGTGGTATTTGTTTCAAAATAGTTATAAACGAAATTAGCTAATTAATTCCAATTGGTTGGAGTTGGGGAATGTAAAATTAAAGAATTACTACTATCATCGTATCAACGGATGTGCGCCCACACCTACACTGCGCTATGAACAAATGTTTTTATCGTGGCTGTTTGCAGTCCGCACTCGAACAAGAAACAACAATGGAATTAAACATCAAGTAGTCACAAGTGATTCTTATAAACATTTTTGAAATTAATTAAAAATTGGTGTTACAAACGTTATCAACATTTGGATATTTCAATGTTTCTCTACAAGTGATGAAAAATAAGGTAATTATTTAAAAAAATAATCCAATAGAATTATTTAAATACACAAGTTTCATTACGTTATCTATCTACGAGTATATTGTCATGGTCAAACCAGAAAAATTATCTTAATCTTTTATTATTTTCTCAGATAATTATTTAACTCATCAGTTAACTCATTAAAATGCTAACCGCAGTTATATGTTTAATAATGTGGTGTTAAAGTTAGTTCTAAAGTAAAATAAAAGTGATTTGTGAATCTTTAAAGGTAAAAAACATTTTTAAAGGCGCAAGTGAAAACTTTCAATATAGATAAAGAAAGTGCGATACCATAAACTCCCAGACCAGAGAACAAACACTAATTGATTCTTATTTATTCATTGAGTTTACTAGCTATTACTCACTTTAGGCCATTATTTACATACATGTCGTATGCGTTAACTACTTAGGCACCTATATATTACGCACAATTCACGTGTTCACTATAAACGCTAAAACATTGAGTAGTTAAGTGTTTAAAGTAATTATAGGTTAGGTTATGTTACACTATGATATGTTACACTTTGTCAATATTTGGTTATGTTATACAAACAGGAAAGAGAACATAAAAAGTTACAGTTTTGAAAGGAATAATTTTCTTTTGTCAAACAATATAAGATATTCTTTATTAATCTAATTGTTTTATGATTGTGCATTGAAATTATCTTTATGAATTTATTATTAGTTACATCTTTATGTATCCGTTAATTTTATATGTTTCCTTGATGACTCAAGTTAATGATTCTGATGAATATATTCAATTGGTCATCATCGTTAAGGATGCATTCGAGTTATTATTCACTCGTGAAGTCATTGATTCGTTTATTCTACGTAGGTATAATTATTATCTAAACATTCACCTGTATTTTCATGGTCTTCTCAATCACGTTTATTTTAAATGCGTAAAATAAACTTATTGTTTTAATAAAATTTAAAAAATAGTTGTGGTTGGAAAATTTGCTACGCAATTCAAACATTAGACATTTATATCTCCAAAAATTGAGAAAAAAACATGTTGAAGCTAAAAATATCAAAAACTAGCTTTTGCCCGCGACTTCGTACCTGGTAGTGTTTAATAAAAATGTAATTCGTTTTTACTCTCTCATTCTAGACATAGTATGTGTCAATTCTATCAATAAGATTCGCAATTTCATTTTAAAGAAATTAATTATATAAAGAATTGCTAATAATGCACTCCAGCGCGCCATCTCGGATTCAACTATTTAACTATAACTATGATTGAATCTCAATGCCAACTTTTATCCTATAGAAAAGGGCTGTCTTTGGGTTTTCTTCGGCAATTATGCATTTTTTTTCGCCGTAAAAACCATCCTTGGACTTTAATGAACATTTAAAAAAAGAATTGGCCAAATTGGTCTAAGCGTTGTTGAGTTATGCGCTTACCAACACATTTTGTGATTCATTTTTACATTATAGATGTTTAAATTAAACATATTGTTGTAACAGAATTAAAAAATAGTTCTGATTGGAAAATTTACTGCGGCACTTATACCGTAACTCAAACATTGGATAAATTACACTATTACTACTTCTGATTAATCTTCTCAAATCGAGCGCGTGTTTCCTGGTTGTTTGTTCGATATTTGACGCCTCTAATACTTTCGTACACTTGTATTGCAGTTCACTTAGATTAATCGAATTGTGTGTTACAGCATTTCAGAATATCAGCTTTCATTTCCTTAACAAAATTACAATCAGTACCAGTGTAACACCAGTACGTTCTTAATTAATGCATATTTAAGCAGGAATTAATGTAATTATAACAGTTGACGCAAGCGACAGGTGATTTCTGATATTTAATTTGATATTTAGAAGTTTTGATATTCGATGGATTCTAGTGTTGAACTTTGCTGAAAAGTGTAGGAAATGGCTCGTTAAACGCGTAAATTATTCATAAATTACTTTGACACATTGACATTTAACGAATAGGCACAACTGAAAAGAGAAGTAATTAATTTTACATTTACAAAAGTTACTTGTAATTTTGGGTAAAATTACGTACGTGAAAATTTAAAATATAATTTTATTCTATCGACCCATCGACCTAGTAAAGAAATCCGAAACAATACAAGATGCAATAACAGTAATAATACATACTAGAATAGGACTGCACAATCCTTACGTTGGGTAAGGCCTGAATTAATGATGATCACACCGATGCACCCGACGCAACTGCAATAATTCTCATCAAATCATTCGGAACTATAACTGAACCACACAAAAATTGGAAAATAAATAATAAAAACTCTAAAAATAAAATTTAGTCCAAAATTGTCCATTATTTAGTTAAATATTACTAAATAATGGCGCCTTGACTATATATTTTTAATTTCTTATTTTAAACCAATGCGTTTATAATCAAAATTTTGGCAACGCAAGTCTAAGCTAAAACTGAACTACAAAAAGCGTAAAAATAGCTATTTAATGAAGTTTTAAATCATGTAATGGCTTAAAATTTTTCTTTCCTGTTTACGATAAAAATGGCAAAATGCCAACGCAAAAAATCGAACCGAATTGGAGCAATCCAGATGACAATTGCAGGATGCAGTAGTCCTTGCGTAGATTCCGATCTGCAGATGTCCTGCGCACCGCGCATGCGTGATATATCGACGCGGCGCAGCCGCCGCCTCATACCGCCGCCGCAAAATCTCTCGCTTTTCGCAGTCGCAGTGGTCGCGGCAACGCATCAACAACATAAAATAAAAACAAGCATGAATCAAATTAAGCTCATAATTGAAACTTTCAAATAGACAACCACACTGTGCGCACTGAATAATTATAGATTGCAACAATCGCACATGGTGTTATGATTACTTATTATTAATTTATTTGTTTAGTGTTGAAGCGCTTGAATATTTATCAATGCACGTGATGTGATATTTCCGTTTGTATTTTATTTCGGTATTCAAGTCAAGTTTAAGTTGGATAGACGTGAATTTCCCAACATGTAGTCTGTGCAAGTGCGGCTCAACAGCCACTGTAAAATGGATGAAGCTGCATCATGAGAGGAGATTCGCGCTTTAGTGCCTCGTTTGCACGAAACGTGAGTTTTATTTCGCTGGAACGCACCCTCCAACAACACATCAGTACCGACTCATTATTAATTCGTTGCACTTTGAGATTACGCTTAGGTAACTCTCAAAACGGTTAAAGTCAGGTTATGTTCGTTTTTCAATTTAACTTTAAATATCCTGGGAATTGAAAAACAAGCGAAAAAATTTGTTCAAATTAATTTTACTTTAATTTTTTTTTAATTTTAAACGAAAAATTTTTAAAAAGAAAAAATTTTACTTTCAGAAATATGGAGTCTGCGAAAACGACTTTACAGTTTCACCGCTACATGCTTTATCTGATCCTCGCTGTGCCAATAATCATCACTTGTTATCAACTGGGCACGATACGGACAAACAACGAAATAGTCTTTCATACGAACGGTAGGACGACTGTTTTAGACCTATTATCCAAATCAACGCCTGTTTTTGTTTCCCAAGGCGAGTATTTAATAAAAACGCCGCAATGCACAATTCTCGACCTCGATCCGTGGAATCCGGACGCGAGGCATTTCTACAAGAACGAAAGTTATACATCCTGCACATCGCATCCGCTCTTAACCAGTGTTCACATGAACGAAAACAATACCGTCGCCATTTTAGTGGTCGACAAAAAACTAGTGCCAAAGTACGCCAAAGATGGCGTTAGTTGTTGCGTCAGCAGTGTCAATCGTGGCTCTGGCGTCGAAATAGATAATAAAATTACGTAAGCATTGACCACATGCATGTTTATTGAGTTGCCTACTTCACAACTACTAAGTTGTAATTATTATTTTTGATTGTAGATATACAAAATGTCGAACAATATCAAATAATTCGATTGAAATCGATAATGATCGTCCGTCTATGGTAACGTGTCGCAGTTTGAAGAAAAAGAAAGAGGTTTACAAAAATGTTCACGTTCCCATTGCGATAACACCCACGATACTCAACAAAACACTCAATTTTAAATCCTTCGCCCGCCCATTGAGTGTGTTATGGGTGGGAATTGACAGCGTGTCTCGATTGAATATGATCCGCACCATGCCGAAAACACGCGCATTTCTTCTCAACGATCCTTCATGGCTAGAATATAAAGTATTTAATAAAATCGGGGATAATACATTCCCGAATTTAATGGCGATGCTCACCGGCTTGGATAATACTCAGGCGTATAGCCGCTGCAATCCGAAAACTCCCGGTGGTTTAGATAAATGTGATTTTATCTGGCATCGATTTTCCGCCCATAATTATGTCACAGCCTATGCGGAGGACTCTTACGTAATGGCTACGTTTAACTATGGAAAAAAAGGTTTTACAACACCACCGGTTGATTATTACATGCGTAGTTATCAGTTGGCTTGTGGTGATTTAAAAGCGCGTACAGTGGACAATTCGCCATATTGTACTGGACCGGAAGTAGATGGCGAGAGAATATGGCGTGCGGCAAAGGAATTCACACGCGTTCATGGAAATCATTCGTATTTTGGTTTCTTCTGGATGAATACCTACAGTCATCAGCAGTTGAATACGCCTGGAAGGATGGATGCTAAGGTGCAAGCATATATGAACGATTTAATGAAACTGGCCGACAATAACACGGTGATTATCTTCCATAGCGATCATGGCATCCGATTCGGCAAGATTCGAAACACACTCACTGGTTATATTGAAGAACGAATGCCGTTTTTGTTTATGAAGTTTCCGGCGTGGTTCCAGGAACAATTTCCAGAAGAATATAATAATTTAAAGCTTAATCAGGATAGGTTAATCACGCCGTATGATATGTACATGACTCTTCAGGATATTTTGCAATATTCTGGGTTTGATGATGATATAACGCAGAGTGAAGGATGTCAAAATTGTCATTCGTTGTTTGCTCCCATTGATTTGAATAGATCTTGTGCAGATGTCGCTATTGCGGAACATTGGTGTACCTGTTTCAACTATCGCAAGGAAGATGGCGCTACTAAACTTGCGCATAAAGCTGCGCGTTTGCTTATAGAAAAAATCGAAAATATTACTGCGGAGAAGAATGCAACGTCAAAATGTGCCAAATTTAAACTTGTGAAAATACTGAATACATATAGATCGCAGTGTTTTGAAGATGGCGCTGACTGTGACCAGAACTTTTTGATCGTCGTGATTGAAACGAAACCTACGGCTACTTTTGAAGCTACGATGAGTTTGAAATACAATGGAAAGAAACTCAAGGGTGCAGTTTTAGATGACATTGAAGACAATGTCGAAATGAAAATGTATAGCGGCATTAGTCGGCTAGATGCGTATGCGCAAACTGCTAAGTGCACGGATGATACTTATTTAAAGTTGATGTGTCACTGCAAGTAAAAGTGTCAAACATTTGTAAAGTTTTGTAATTTATATCGTGATTATAGTACTTAAGAATCTACTAATTTGTAAATAAATTATATCAGCGAAAATTTATCTATAATTTAAAAATGAATCGCTAAATGTGTTGGTAAGCGCATAACTCAACAACGCCTAAACCAATTTGGCCAATTCAATTTTAAAATGTTCGTTAAAGTCCAAGGATGGTTTTTACGGCGAGGAAAATTCGAATAATTGCTGGGAAAACACTAAAGACAGAGCTCTTTTCTATAGAATAAAATTTGGCATTGAGATTCAATCATAGTTTTAGTTAAATAATTGAATTCGAGATGGCGCGCTAAAGTGCATTATTTGCAATTCTTTATATAATTAATTTCTTTAAATAAAACTGCGAATCTTATTGGTAGAAGTGACACATACTATGTCGAGAACAAGAGAGTAAAAACGAATTACACTTTTATTAAACACTACCGTGACGAAGTCGCGGGCAAAAGCTGGCGTATTGTGAAATTTTGATTTAAAAAAACTAAAGACAGCCCTGCACAACTGCTACAAACAAAGTTGCCTACATAGTTCTAAATTTTCAACGTTTTGAAATTAAATTATTCTGGTAATTAATGCATCCTGAATATTCATTAGTGAAAACAAATGCGTTAATTATACCAGTGGGATTTCTGACTTTGCCCTCAATCTAAACACTAATGCAGTCTAACTGCCGCCGTTAGCACCGTTACAAGTATTTTCGGACGTCACGCGCGTATTAATAAACTTAACAACCGTAAATACTAAACACGATCACATTTAGATAGTATTAATCGTAGGAAGTGTTTAAATTCACTTTTTGCGGTTGTAAATCAATTTATTCCAAACGTTTTCCGCATGTTTTATGGTGTATTGCATATTTATACGTAGGTATCGTGATGACTGTCGTGTTGCGACTGTAAAGATAGAGTGAAACAAATGGTACCAAGGAATAAAATCGACGCGACAGCGAATTCGCCTCGCATTACTTTTGCGTCTCTGTCGTCCTGAGTTACGTTTTAACCGGTGCAAATGACGAGGCGGCGCGTTAAAATGGCATTTCTCTCACAACGCGCGATCATAACACACACCGGTTCAATTAATATAAGAAAAGTGAAGTAACCTTTTTGCATCGCATAGAAATAAAAAATATGTTAAACCTAGTGACCTGTTACCATAAACAAGAACTTTGTTTATCTGCATTAAAGTGAACAATGACTAATTAAAATCTGAAGTGCGATAAGTGGGTTAGTTGCGATAGAAGAAAATGCGGGCGACACGGAGACCGAAACTATTTCTCCTGCTTGTGTTTGCGTTTCTCGTTTTTCTCGCGTGCAAATTCATCCCGGTGCACTATTTCCTCAACACGGACTATAATTACTACCTCACTCAAGGTAACAAACTTTAACCAACTCGACAAACTTTAATAATTTTAAACACAAACATTTCTTTTCTTAAAAATGGCTTTGTTTACCCATCATATGAATCATAACAATATTTAATCATTTACTTAACAATGCAACGTGATAAAATTCAAGTAAATATATTTATCTTATCGTATATTCCAGTGAAGGCAGTTAATAAATAATTCAGATATGGTTCAATTTTAATTTATTCAATAAAATATTATAGATTTTTGTAATATGTGACTAGTTTAATGAATTTTTAATATTCTAAGATGGCTTCTACCTGTTGATTTCACCAACATGTCGGATTGTCAATCTCAATCCATGGAACGACGACGCCAAGCGTTATTATGTCAAAAAGACGTACTACTCATGTGCAACCAGTGCCATATTGACTGAAATGGTGTTAGATTCCAATAAAATCGACGTTTATTTACAACGAAACCACGAAATTCTCTCTGTGGATTATCCTGATCTGACATGTTGTGTTTCTAACGTCACACGAGCGCAGTCGCCATCTTTAAACAACACATATGATGATAATAAAGCGATGTAAGTTAATTAATTATCAAAATTAATGTTTAATAATTTAAATTTTGTTTTAGATTGAGTGAATGCATAAAATTCTCAAGTTTTCCTCTGAAAGTCTCTAATGAACATGCGACGTATATTCGCTGTGCAGATATTGCGACATCGAAACTCTACGAAAATATCCATCAACCCATTGCGCTGACAGCTTCCGTCCGAAGTAAACTAAACAAGTTAACGTTAAAAACTGACTTGAAAACACGCGAAAAAGTACTTAAGCGTACACATCGTAAAATGAACGTGTTAATTCTTGGTATTGATAGCATATCTCGACTTAATCTCATTCGTACAATGCCACACACTTATAATTTACTGCAATCTAATCCCAGTTGGATGGAGTTTAAGATTTATCAAAAAATGGGAGAAAATACGCTACCGAATCTGATGGCTATCTTAGCAGGTTTTAATTTATCACAGACCTACGACATTTGTAAACCTTCACTTCCTGGTGGTTTAGATAACTGTCCATTTATCTGGAGGAGATTCTCTGATAAAGGTTATATCACAGCATATGCGGAGGATTTAGCGAAAATCGCCACGTTTAATTTTGAACGACCTGGATTTAATAATTCCCCGGTTGATTATTACACTCGTGCATATCACTTGGGCTGTGCACACTTCCTATCAACTACTACATTTGACGGCGCGCCATTTTGTTCCGGTTTGGTGCAAGATGGTGAACGGGTTTGGAACGTCGCGATGGATTTCGCACGTTTACACAAACACAATCCACATTTTGGTTTCTTTTGGACGAATAGCTACTCACACGAAGATGTTAACACACCAGCTAAGATGGATGACAAAGTTCGTGATTATCTGATGGAAATATCTGATATTGTAGAAGATAACACTTTGATTATATTTTTGAGTGATCATGGTATAAGATTCGGACCAATTAGGAACACACTGACTGGATATTTAGAAGAACGTCTGCCTTTTCTTTATTTTCGCTTTCCGAAGTGGTTTCCGAAGGAGTATCCAGATCAGTACGCCATTTTGAAAATGAATACACAACGTATGGTGACACCGTTTGATCTGTACATGACATTACAACAAGTTTTAAACATGGCGGATGAATCATATGAAATGGAACCATCTTTAGGTTGTCCCAAGTGTAAATCGTTAATGGAGTTGATTCCGTTAGAAAGGTCATGTCAAGATGCGAATATTACTGATCATTGGTGTACATGTTCGAATTTAATTGAAATTGATACAAACTCAGACCGAATCAAAATGGCTGCTGATGTTGCGGTAGGAAAGTTAAATTCACTCATTGTACAATTAAATGGGGAACAGTTGTGCGAGCGTTATAGACTTGATAGAGTGTTGAAAGCGTATCAAGCTACTAATCATTATGGTGGGAATGATGATCTTGTTGTTGTTGAATTCCAGACTTTCCCGAAAGCACAGTTTGAAGTTAGCATGCATACGGGAAATATGGAAGCGTACGGTGGGTTTTCACGCTCGGATAGTTATAAAACAACAAGCGGATGTACGAACAGTCGTAACTTGCAAATGTTTTGTTATTGCAAGGAAACTAGTGAGCATTGGATTGACAGAACTGATGGAATTTAAGTTATTTATACAGATGTGCTGTAATTAATGGTCAATTCAATTGTTTTATTAAGCAGAATTATGTTTACTTTGTTAAAATTTTATTGAAATGTTAATAAAACGATTTTTCATGGTTTTTGTTTTGTTATTGGAGATTTTGGCAAAGTTTTGAAAAACTTGCATTGTGTGTATGATTGGTTGCCTACAACAAACTCCCGTTTTATTTTTTTGTAAAACAATTTTTATGTGTTTAATTGATGGTAGGTGTATTTATCAGATCTGAAAATTATTTAATTTATATTTCGGAAACAAAGCGAAAACAATATTTATTTAAATGTAAAAATCAAAATTGACAGCAATGTTTAACGTCCAGCTGTTCAAAACACAATTCCCAAGTGTACAACTTGAAATTTTTACGTGTGCGCCTTCCAAATAAATTGTAAACGAAGCACGGTGAGTTTAAACAATTTCAACATTCGAACATTTTATGTTGTCGAAGCACACCGGAAGTCAAAATCTTCCATGCGTTTCATACGTTGAAGAGCGCGGGAATCGGTCAACTTGTCCGCCATTGTACAGTTGCTCTCAACCTCCTTCCAACACATTGTCGAACTCTGCCTAACACACGACTATGGTATAGGTCTGTTTCGTTTCAATCTGTTGAGTCGATGCGATCCGCTCGGCGCGCGCAAAAAAATTTGGTGGGAATCCGCGGCGTGGTGTCCGCATCGCATCTCTCGCAGCCCGCAACCGCACCAGCCCAGCATGGCGCAACAGATCGACGATCTTTTTGATTGTTTCAACGACGACGACGACAACGATGAGGACAACACCACCAGCAGTGATGCAGCCGGCAAAGATGCCGCTGCCCGGCAAGACGAGATGGCCAAGCGGTGAGTCGCGGATGTTGATTAGCCTAACCTAAAATGAGCACGCCATTCCATGCGCGCCGCGGTAATAAAATCTTGCTTTGTGTAGAGTCGCCGCCGTCGACATCAAAAACTCCAAGCGTGAGTTAAATGACGACGAAGTCGCTGCCAACAAGAAGTTGAAGACCGACGACGACGTCAACGTCGATGACATTAAGTAAGTCTTTGAATACATGCGCTTTTTTTTGTTATCAAGAGATATCCAATTTGAAGTCATATTCTGATAACCTTCAAACATTCAAACCAATTTATTTCGTTGCTTCTAGCTTTGAAGAGTTGAGAAACAGAATATTGGTGCATCCAATTGAAACAACTGGCTCATGCACACATGAAGTTGCATGTCCTCCAGGTCATGGATACACTCCACTTCTACCAGGAAGAGCAGAGCCTGCCAAAACTTACACATTCACTTTGGATGCTTTCCAAACTGAATCCATTCTTTGCATTGAAAATAACCAAAGTGTTTTGGTTTCTGCTCATACTTCAGCTGGCAAAACTGTTGTTGCTGAGTAAGTACACATGTTTACAGATACTTTTTTATAATTTAAAATGGTGATTCATATTGCACATGTTGGCTGCAAACTTTGTTTAACCGCCAAATTCAAAATGGCGGAATGCATGACTGGATCAACAACTTTTGTTTTTTTACCCACCAGATACGCGATTGCAACCTCCTTGAGAAATAAACAACGAGTAATCTACACAACACCGATCAAAGCGTTGTCGAATCAAAAATATCGTGAATTTTACGATGAATTCAAAGACGTTGGCCTTGTGACTGGCGACGTGACAATCAACCCCAGCGCTTCATGTTTAATCATGACCACTGAAATTCTGCGGAACATGTTGTACCGCGGTTCGGAGATTATGCGTGAAGTCGGCTGGGTTGTCTTCGATGAAATCCACTACATGCGTGACAAGGAACGAGGCGTCGTCTGGGAAGAAACGCTTATCCTGCTGCCGCACAACGTGCACTTTGTTTTTCTTTCGGCGACTATTCCCAATGCAAGACAATTTGCCGAATGGGTAGCACATTTGCACCATCAGCCATGTCACGTCGTCTACACTGACTACCGTCCCACGCCGCTGCAACATTTTGTTTTTCCGTGTGGCGGACAAGGCATCCACATGGTTGTAGATGAGAATGGTACATTTAAGGAGGACAACTTTTCCACTGCCATGGCGGTGTTGGAAAATGCTGGCGATGCAGCAAAGGGTGATCAGCGCGGACGCAAAAGTGGTTTTGCTAATAAAGATTCCGAGGGAACGGATATTTTTAAGATTGTGAAGATGGTTATGGAGAGAAACTTTGCGCCAGTGATTGTATTCAGCTTCAGCAAGAAGGATTGCGAACTTTATGCAACAACCATGACAAAGTTGGATTTTAATACAGGTATGAAAGAAAATACTTTCATTTACAAACAAATTATGTTATTTTTTTCTTTTTTTCGTTAATCAGGTGCTGAAAAACTACTTGTTGATGAAGTCTTTTCAAATGCCATGGATGTTCTCAACGAAGAAGACAAGCACTTACCACAAGTTGAGAATTTACTCCCTTTGTTAAGACGCGGAATCGGAATTCATCATGGCGGTCTATTGCCAATTCTGAAAGAAACTATCGAGATTCTCTTTGCCGAGGGACTGATTAAGGCATTGTTTGCGACGGAGACGTTCGCCATGGGCTTAAACATGCCGGCGCGCACTGTGCTATTCACAGGTATGCGCAAATTCGACGGACGTGATTATCGCTGGGTGAGTAAAATTTAAATGAGCATGCAATTCGGTGTAATTTTATGCAAAATCTAATCCCCTGTGCCGTAAAACTTTATTTCAATGACGTATACTTTACTATCACACTAAACAGTTAAGATAAAATATACGCCAACTCTCGAAACTGATATTTATTAAACTTTTTTTGATTAAATTTTAAATATTTTAATTTAATCGAGCGTAATAGATGTACGAAAAGAATGCATCAGCAGGATTCATGTCGTTGGCGTTGTGATTCACGTTCGTTTTAGCGGTTGGTCACGTTTCGTTTGGTTTAATCGCGTTTTTATCGCTTTGTGTAACATAACTCCACCGTTGTCGGGCCATTTTATTATGACGTTGCATGACGTCAGACAAAACCCCAGTCGTATTGTTTATTTGGATCAATTTCTGAGGTGTTTCTCTGATTTTTACTCCCTTCTATATTAATCTTACAATAATGAATATTCTTAAGCGTGATCAAAACAAAAAAAATAACTGATAGAGGTAACAGAAACCACCTATGCGCCATTTTGTTCCATGTTGCAAACGTCTCATTGTGGAACATTCAATCCTCCTACTATAAACAAACTATTTGATTACTTTAATGTTTTTCTTCAGTTAACGTCTGGTGAATATATACAAATGTCCGGCCGAGCTGGTCGGCGTGGTTTGGACGACAAAGGTATCGTTATTTTAATGGTGGACGAGAAGCTGCCGAAAGCGGAAGGCCGCGAAATCGTCAAGGGTCAGCCAGATCCGATCAATTCGGCGTTTCATCTGACATATAACATGGTATTAAATCTGTTGCGCGTTGAAGAGATCAATCCGGAGTACATGCTGGAGCGTTCATTCTATCAATTCCAGAATCAGGCGGCCATTCCGGGTCTTTATGATGGTGAGCAATAATATTTTTAATTTTAAATCATTTTACATAGATAACTGATGTCGTTTTTGTTATTTGTAGATTATGAAAAAGTAAAACAGAAGTATGACGCGTTTAAGATTGACAACGAAGAAGAAATCGCTTCGTATTATGCGATTCGCACCGAGCTGGACGCCCTGGGTGAGCAATTTCGCGGATTTATCACCAAACCGAAACACTTGGTGCAATTTTTACAAGCGGGACGACTTGTTAAAGTGAGTTATTCGCAGAATTTTGCATTTTACACACCAATCTTAATCCCTATCTGAGAAATATATCCAAAAGCAATTAGGTATTCGGGGAAACATTTGAGTATTACTTTGGAAATTATTTAAATCTCAATAATTCTTGTTATGACGGGTAGTTCAATGTGGTGTGATTGTACATTTGTTGCAGATTAAGATGAACGGCAATGAATACGATTGGGGTGCGATCGTAAACTTTAAGAAGGTGGCGGAGACGACCGGTCGAATGAAAGCTAATCCGATGAGGAGCGCCACTAAAATTCAGGTCGACTTACTTTTGCATGTGCTTCCCGCTGCGAGTAAGGATGACGAGGAAATTCCAAAACCTTGTCCAGCTAATCAGGTAAGAAACGATTTTATAACGGCAATTTTAAATTATAAAGTAATATGAGCAATTATTTATTAGAATTATTATTTATTTGATGCTTTTTTAAGGTTGGTGAAGTAGAAGTTTTGGCGGTTTCTTCAACGCTAATAACTCATATTTCATCGGTACGCCTGCACTGTCCGAACGATTTGCGTTCACGCGATGCTCGCCGTGGTGTACATAAAGCCATCTGCGAGGTGAAAAAACGCTTCCCTGGTGGTCCACCACTTCTTAACCCAATTAACGACATGAAAATTTCTGACGGCGAGTTTGAAGGCATCGTGAAAAGGATTGAAAGTTTAGAAAAACGGTAAATATTTAAAAGGATAGCATTTTTACAAAACTAATTTATATGTTGTGCAGCATGTATGAACACCCTATGCATAAAAAGGACAGTCTTACCGGCGATTATGCATCGTATGAACAAAAAGTACAATGCCAGGAACAACTAGCAGCCGCCAAAAAGAAACTGATGGATGCTAAATCTGTTCTTCAGTTAGACGAGCTAAAATGTCGCAAACGAGTTCTTCGGCGGTTAGGATACTGCACGAATGCGGATGTTATACAACTGAAAGGACGTGTAGCATGTGAACTTAGCAGGTATGAAAGTAATTTTTGTTTTAATGTTACTTATTCATTAAAAAAAAAACATTCGATTTTGCAGTGGTGATGAATTGCTCATTTCCGAAATGATCTTCAACGGCATATTTGGCGCTCTTGCTCCTGCGCAAGCATGTGCTCTGCTCAGCTGTTTTGTTTTCGACGAAAACACCTCTGGAAATTCATTTCCTAAGCTCTCCGAGGAGTTATGTGGTGCCCTACGTCAAATGCAAGACATAGCGCGCCGTATAGCCAAGGTGAGCACAGAAGCGCGACTTCCTCTTGACGAGGACAAGTATGTGGAGCGTTTTAAGCCAGCCATGATGGATGTCGTCTTTGCATGGTGCAACGGATCGGCGTTTTGTGAACTGTGTAAGATGACCGATGTGTTTGAGGGATCGATCATTCGCTGCATGCGACGACTTGAAGAACTTCTTCGGCAAATGGTGCAGGCGTCGAAAACTATAGGCAACACCGATCTAGAAGATAAATTCAACACGGCCATCAAACTAATCAAGCGCGATATAATTTTTGCATCAAGTTTGTACTTGTAATTTGCAGATATAATTAGTAGTAAGAATTTTAAATTAAGCAACGACGTGCGATGCTTTTTGGTGTGCGTTAGCCTTGGACGCGATTGTTTTCGCGGAGGGTTGTGCTACCTGAAGCTTAACTTGGTACCTGGTGCCTCAGGCCAGTTTCAGTCGCCACTACAATTCTTGGAAGTGCGACATGACTGACGGTGGGGGTTTCACTACCCCTAGAAATTTTTGTATAAATGGGGCTCGTTTGTCACGAGGCGATTCAGTGTACAACCGAGTGTGATCTTGAACACATCTCGACTCCAGCAACAAAATTGTTAGTTAATCAGTTTGTAGTGACTGAGTGATGTGCGCCGATGGCGAGTTGTAATAAATCGCGAATTCTGGCGATTTCAATCTGTTCAATATGCTGCGTTTGAGGCGCATAGTACGGATTGAACTCGCCCCAATTCGGATTTAAGCTTTAACACTCGTCGCTCTACTTGTGAAAATGTGTTAATAATTTTAAGTCAACGTGCGAATGAAACATGGTGACGAGCCGTGGGATCTTCCAGTACACCAATATTTTTAATTTGGAGTACGGAATGATCTCGCGTTTTGCTGCCATCTGCATATCTGCAAATATTCAATTGAAATTATTTTTTATTTTTGTTTTCAAACAAGATGCAATTGGTTGTCTTTGGTTATCTAGCCGTGTGATGATTTGCTTTTCGGACGGCTGGCGTTACCAAAACAAGCAGTTGTATAAAGATCTACAAGTTGAACCACTGCGATGCTTCTATCAAATGGATACCTTTGTCAAGGAACTATTGGTGTGGTTTGTAGTTTTTCTTTCATATCACAGCCATTAGTAACTTGACGATGGAATTCAATATCAGCTGAAAATTATTATTGCAATTATTTTGTTTATACTTTTGTTATAGATTCGTGATTTAGAAGTGTTCGGATATTCCGCTCGAGTGCTTTGGTCTAGTCGCATTGGTTTTGGTTTGTGACTAGATCAAACATTCGCGTTAAGTATCCAACTATTGCAACGGTTGCTGGTCTTGCCTGATGATATAAACTGTTTGGTTTTCCTTGCGTTGGTAATGTGGCTTTAATGGTATTCTTGAAATCCATAAAGCTATGTTAGCAATGCAATGCAGACTAATTATTCTACAAGTTGTGAGTTGTTCATCTTATGTAGCATGTTCTACAATATAAAATACAATACAATAAATAAATTTATATAAATATATACAAATTTGTTATTTTGTTCCTTATTTTATGCAATTATTTCAGAGAAAGCAGTCGAATTTCTGCCGAAAGACAATGCCATTTAGTTGATATCGTTTTCTGTCGATAGACAGATAAAATGATGAAGAACCTCTGTACACAATGATTTTATTAATTTTTAAAAATAAATTTATCAATTTATAAAATGTGAAAGAGGGACTTTTTTGTGTTGAAGAACAGGGCCGCACTTTTTTGATTGAATTATTTTTGTTCGAAAGACAGGGACGAACTTTTTTTGTTCAAGATATTTTGTTGTCGAAATACAGGATCGAACTTTTTTATTAAAATGAGAACAGAACCCATTTCATATTTCAAGTGTTTTTGCATTGTGCTCAATCGTGCTATTGTGCTCTACTGAGCAAATGCGTTAAAATTTAAAATGGTGATTTCTGCCAAAACCTTTATGCTGAATACAAAATGGTACTAAGATAAATGAACCAGGATAGCGTTTTCTTTAATTTTCTGATATAAAAGTACAAATTTGTAACTTTTAATTTTTGACTAAGGAATGATGGAAAAACTGAAGAAAGCAGTTTATCGCACTTTTCCTGCAAACTAATAGAGTTAAAGAAAAATGGTTTTCAGATTCGTATTCAGAGTGGAATTCTGCCATATATAACACTTAAAAATTTTCAATTTACTGCACTTACGTAATTATTGAAAATGGCTAATAACATGAAAATTAATTAAGATAATGGATCAAAACTTTAAAAAATTGATTCCTTGTATCATTCTTCACACGATTGGAAAATTTCGAGAAAATCCGAAGGGTGATTCAATTTAGTCTGTACCGATTTTCACCCGACTTTTCCGAAATATTGATGTTATCGGAAAACTGACTGGATATCTTTCATCGCATTGTAATTCTCTATCAATTGGCGTTCTCCATTTTCTGGTAGCTTACAATTTAATTTTTAGGCCAAAAAATCATCAAGTGTAACCTCTTGACTATTTTCGGTGGTTTTTGATCAACTTCTCAAAATCGAAAAACTAAATCTGCCATTTTATAGCTTGTGATCAGTGCATGAGAAAAGTGTAAAAAGTTTTTTTGTAACTTTTATAGTTTTCGAGAAAATTGCATCGGAAGATCAATTTTCATCTTTGGAAAAGTACAAATTTTGAAGTCCTATCTTCTGTAGAATTGTTTGCTGAATGCAACGTCGTTTTCCGTTTTTGTTCATCTCGATTAGTTTTAGAGATAATCGGCATTTAAATGTTGCTGGAAGTGCGGGTTTCACCCAAACGCGTCTATGGGGGAAATGGTAAGCAGTAGGAATGAGTAAAAAGTCGTATTTAAAACGAAATTAAAAACCCCTCTACACAATGGTTTTATTGGTTTTCAATAATAAATAGAATAACTAGATTCAATGTCAGGCGCTTCCGCCATTTTGAAGATAATTATTTGTACTTTTTTTATAAATTAGTAAAATTAAGTTTTTATTGCAGATAATGAAAGAGAACAATTATATTAATAAAATATTTCCGAATAATATTTTAATTAGACGTGCAGTTTAGAAGATGTACGCATAAAATCGCTAAATTTACTTTAAATTTAATTTTATCAATAGCGGTATCAATGGGACCTTAAATATTGGTTGTCGAAAAAAGTTTACTGAAATAAATGATTAATCACTTTTAACATAATCAAAAAAAATTAAATTCCTAATTTTAATTTATACCATAAGAAACTGCTATTCTGTGAAAAAACTTCGTAAAAAAATGCAAAACTTTTTAATTTTTTTATCATGAAATAAAAAAGGAAGTTTTTAATGATTTTGATTGATCTTGTTTAATTAATTTATTAAGGAACAATTTTATTCCAGCACTTGAAAATTGGATTTCAACTGAAAAACAGGGCCTAAAAAAATATTTTTGTATAAAATATAGATTATGCTATTAAATATTGATGTTTTATTCATTTGTATGTCTCTTCTACATTATACAATTTATTTCAATTAAGTTTTGATCATATAACATTTAAAAAGAAGAAAATACGTAATTGAAAACAAATTTCAAAACATCGATTTTGTCAAAATTAAAATTATATCTTCAACATATACAGAAATATCTCAATATATTTAATTATATTAGATTTGCAATGCAGTCGATAAATTCAACACACGCATATAATACGATAATGCCCGATTAGAACCGATTAAAGTCGAGATCTAAACTTTGCAAAAGTGCATCGATTTTTTTCGATCCGCAGATATTTGCATTGCATTCGAATTCGCCATATAGCCCTTCAGTAGCAGTTGGTAGCACCAGGCACCCGACCTGCTTGAACTTGAACGCATCTACCACGCCGCGCCAAGCGCACGAGCACAGAGCGCCGCACATTGCACACGGACCGGCCAACTTAGCGTCGCAGTCAAATCGCAGCACTCGTCGCTCTGTTCCCAGCAACGCACGCCGCCGCGCACACAGACCGTGCGCAGTCTTCTATCTTTCTCCAAACGATCGACACCTCGCTCTCACCTGTCACGTCATGGCAGATATCTCGAAACAAGCGCTCCGCAAAGAAATCGCCGGTAAGTTACAATTTATTACAATTATGAACACAAATCATCTCCGAACTAGCCAAATTATGCATGTGATGAGCACGACTTGGTCCACGATTTGCCTGAAACACTTTAGCATTCATGTTTGAGGCTCGCTCAGGCCGCGCGTCATGAGCATAACGTACACAAACAATGGCCATGGGGGACGCGTCGACCCGGCCATGTAACCGGGCCAGATTCGAACTTCAGAAATGAATATCTCTGAAAGTACGCGTCCACTAGCGAAAACATGCAAACAAAATCGTCGTACAATTTTATTTCTGATTTTCCTACGTGCGTATCTCGCCGGTTCCATGGACATTTTAAGATTTTGGGAGCATTTTTTTGCAAGTCCATCAGCCATTTCGCGTTTGTAGCAGAGTTGCATTGCAAACAACTTTTGATTTTGTCATGACTGTACAAGGCTTATAATCTGGCCCTTTTCGAGCAAATACGATTGAATTTCAAAAATTCTATGCCTTTTTGTTTACAATATTATAAATTAAATGAAGCGAACAAAGCGTTGTATACAGGGTGTTACAAAATATTACCCTCCTAGATACTTCATCATATTATTGTAGTATTTTAATAACAATAAATTATAATTTTTTAGCTATCCTCAAGGGTGCGGATTTGGCCGACACATCAGCCAAAAACGTGCGCCAAGAGCTAGAAGAGAAGCTTGACTGCAAGCTTATCGCGCGCAAGAAGGAAATCGACGAAATGGTCATGGAGTATGTAAGCAACGCGGCCGACAAAAAGGGCAAAAAGAAGGATTCCGAGGAAGAGGATGAGGAGGACGAGGAAGACGAGCAGGAGGAGAAAGAAACTGAAGAAGATGAGGATTCCGAGGAGGATAAGAAGCCTGTAAAACGTGCTTCTTCCGCTAAGAAACCACCGGCGAAGCGCCCCAAGAAAGACTCAGACGATTCGGACGAAGGCAGCGATGCCTCCGGTGATGCTTCCGAAGAAGAATACAAACCAGTGAAGAGAGCGTCCACCGGCAAGCCGAGGGGTCGTAAACCAGCTCCCAAGAAGAAAAAAGGCTCAGACTCTGATGGTGATGAGGACTGGGTACAAGAGAAACCTGCTCCTCGCAAAACTGTAAGTATACCAATAAAAAATCTCAAAAAAATAAGTATTTACTTACTAAATATTGTTTGCTTACCTTGCTTAGGGTGCTGGTGGCGGCGCTGGAAAGGGCAAAGGCTACACCCGCCCGTTGACTCTCTCCCCTGAACTGGCTGCGCTCGTTGGACAGGAGGTGATGGCACGACATGAAGTCATCAAGAAGATGTGGTCGATCATCAAAGAGAAGAATCTCTACGACCCCAAGAACAAGCAGTTCGCGATATGTGACGAAGCCATGCAGAAGGTCATCGGCGTAAAGCGCTTCCGCATGTTCGGCATGATGAAGTACCTCAAGGATCACTTCATCGCCTAAGCTAGGCCGCGCACATTCGTACTAACATTTCAGACTATTTACTACATCTAAACAAAAAAAAAACGCGAAAACATTTAAAAATTTAACGGCCAGAAGTAGGATGGATTAAGTTTACAGTATACATACTTAGATGGTAATTTAAATGTGCGCTGACATTTACAGACTGTTTAGTTTTTAAGGCAATCGCAAACATTCACACACACACACACCCAAAATGCAAAATTTAAAGAAATATTTTGGCAAAGAAAATTCGGTTTGTGACTTGGCGCCACGAGAAAAGTGGTGCGGAAATATTTGACACACTCGACATTTAGAGGATAAGGACTTGAGTTTTGCGATCTAGGTATTAATCGATAGATGTGTTTAAGGAACGAAAAAATGTATAATCGACGTTTTCCTCTGTGTGTGCACACTGGAGTACATCACCTGCGAACAAAACTTTTCACTTCTATTCGTGTGGGTGTTTTCCGTCAATGTTCGAAACTTAATTTACTGTGTGTATAATTAATTATTATTTACAGGCATCTCTTTTGCTTTGCACGCGAAGCGAAAGGGCGGTCGAAAGTCGCTACTATTTAATAAGAATTCAGTTGTGTCGAATTTTCAAAGGATCGATATCGAAAACAAATTATAAAAGTCATTTGTAGAAGAATATTGTAAAGCTATTTTTATCTACCTTCCACATAACAATTTTTAGCTCTTGTCTGGTGGTTTAGTTAAGTTCATAATAAATTGTTTATCATCTTTGCGTCCACGTAGACCAAAGAAGTACGTCTGTGGTGTATGCGTGTTAGTGTACGCATCTTGAAGAGTCTGCATGGCGACATCTTTGGATGCGTAGGTCTGCGTGGCGCTGGAGAAGATGCCACGCAATGCTTCGGTGTTCACTTGCTTGGACGACGTGTGCGAGAGGTCACACAAACTGAGCGCGGCACGTTTGTGATCCCAGATATTCCACTTATATTTGTAGTCGATGTTTTTTTCGACTGCGTGCAGCTCAGTTTGCACATCAGCGTTGGTATGTGCGACGGTAGACTCTGCCATTTGCGTAGTACTTACTAACCTGGTTAATTATTAATTATTTAGTAAAAAATAGCATAAAACACTTAGATAATCAAATCTTACTGTTTTAGTGTTTGGACTCTACGCATATCCTCCTGAAGTTGCAACAAAGTGATTAATTCGACTTTCTTTCGAACCAATTCAAGCATTTCGCTCACAATTCTAAAAGGTGAGCATAAAAATTAGGTTAGGTTAGCTGGGTGTGTATAATTATAGGTTAAATTACTTGGTTGGATACTTTGCAAACATAAATGCGCTTTGTTTGGTTGAAAAAACATAATTCCTGTTATCAAAAACGATAATGCCGAGATTAGGGTTGCCTGGTATTAAGGCACCTTGTGATTCGACTAACCTCCATATATCGAAGCCCAAAATCTATTTAAAACAAACGCAAATATTAATTAAACTTTGAAATGTTATAAAATCACTCTTCCTACTTCTAATTTTAATTCTTTAAGATTGAAATCTTTGCTTGTTGGTTGAATAATCTCAACATCAAACAATTGCTCCTCTAAATAATCGCCTTCTTCTAGAATCACGGATCGATCAGCATCATTAAGAATATCTCTGTCGTCAATAATAATTTCCAACTTGTGGAAATTTATAGAACAGTCTTTGATATACACATCTAAATTCACCATAATTTGATACATGCGTTTCATGTAGACGATCTCATTCTGATAGCATTCCCAAATGTTGTCTAATTCAATAAACATTGGCTAACAAAAAAAAACTATAGTCAATAAACAATAATTTTAAATTTAAATCATTTAACGTACAAATATGACTCTGGTTGGCACGCCTGCTTTGAGATGCGTCAAAGAATGAAAACTATCCAGACAATTCTGAAATCTTTTCGTGTAATCCTCGTAGTTATTCTCCATTTGCTCTACAACATCTAATATTTGTCTAAAACAAAATGGTGGAAGTTAAATTTGCCTAATTTTGAGTAAAATTTAACCTCAACCTGGAAAATACTTCAATTTGTCTATAGACGATAATCATATCCTTGAAGAATTCAATTTCTTCATACTCAATTCCTTCGGGCAGTTCGCAGGATTGTTTATATTCAGTATGCATAGCATCTAACCTGTAAACGGCGGTGCTGTCGATGATAAAACAATAATCCATGGCAGAGGTCAAAATGTCGATTTTATCCATTACGCTTTGCAATCGCTGCGTCAAATCAAGTTTAAATTCGCTTAAATTTTGTGCTAACAACATCGGCACTAAAATAATATTAATAAAAGTATTGCTATAGCTGTTAACTTAGGTTATGTACAATTATCAATGCCCTCGCCGCCTTTCTTGCATGTCCAGTTGAAAATTCGCACGCCAGCTGTAATCTGTGCAAAGACATTCAACTGAGTACATTTGTCTTCCTGTTTGTAGTGTGTGAACGCTTGTAGGTCGCTACTGTCAAGAAAACTAGTTGTCGCATGATAACATTCATTGTAAACCTATAAAAATGTAAATTGGATTTGTTATTTATCTACAAATGCATCGATTGTACTTTCTCGAAGGTCGGATTGCCTAAACCACGCCATAAAGTAGAATAGTAAATAATCTGCTTCAGAAGCATATCGTATTGACTGACACTTTCCGGTTTTGACTCGACTATTTCTTCAATAAGAGGCACGAGACGTTTGTGGAAATTGCTTTGATCTACGTCAATTATCTGATGTCGGCTTTCGAAATTGCAATTGAAGTAAAACTGGATTTTTAGCGTTATGATGCAAGGACATGTTTGGTTGCTCATTTTTGCTACGGCGAATTTAATGATGCGAAGTGCGTCTTCGCGCACGATTTCATTCATCTTTGGGAAGAGATTCCATAGTGGATCAAACGCCAATTGAGTTAACTGTCAGAAAAGAAAAGAGAATAAAAAATCCTATAGTTTTACAAAGATTCAAACATAAAACTTACATAATAGGTCATAAAATTTTGATGGCAGTCATATTGTAGTTCTATACACTCTTGCTGAATTTCAAGACATAGATTTTTAATGAAGAATTCCATCGCCATGTTGGAAGCAGTTCGTGTGACGCAGAGTCAATAATTAAGGTAAAAAGCGGCCAGAATACTGGTAAATAAAAACATGCACGTGGAATCGTTTGATCAATAAAATACTTCACTTTGAATGTCAGCCAAGACGTATTACTTCACTTTCTATCAAAATAACTCGTAAACTACTAAATTTGTTATCATAAAACAATAAAAACACTAAATAAACACTATCTGCAGTTAGCTAAACATTTTTATCTATATTTAATGATAAAAATGTATATTTTGAGAAATAGTTGTAAAAATTTCAGGTAAAATTTGACTTTTGTTCGGAAAACTAGAAAGAAAACCTTTAAGTGTTGTGATACTTTGTATGTTGGGTTGCCTATAGTAACACCCCATACATCACAGCAATCCCATGCAAGTTGTAAATGCCGTTGATTTTCGTTCAGCTGGTAGCGCTCGTCGTCCTCCAACACAACTCAAACTGGCCGACTCGTAGAACGGCACGGCGGCAGTCGAGAATCGTTTCCTCGCGGGCTCACAACGTAGAAGCTTCTCGTTGTAAATACTACTCGTGACCCGCCGCCGTGTACTTTGTTGTTTATCGCGCTGTTTTGCATAAACCGAAGGTAGTCACTCGCCCAGCGTTTGGCGGGCGATCTGTGCATGTTTCGCATTACAGTATACACTCAATGCAAAAACAACCAGTGCGCGAATGTGTGGAATTTTCGTCGAAATAAACAAACGAGGATAATAAAACGCTGTGCCTAACCAAACATTCGGTTATTTACAGAATTTGCAATTGCGTTCGGTGAATTTCCAAGTTCGAGCAAAGTGTAAGTAGTAAGTACGTGTGTGCGACAAACGGAAAGGGTGTTGCCTTGCGGGCCAGCAGCCAGCCGGTCGTGTCGTGTGCGATGTGTTTAGTGCGGTCTCGTCCCACCCGTTCGTATCACTGCTTTGTGTCTGGGTTTGTGTCGTTCACGCACGCTCGTCATTCATAAATTTTCATCAATCAAACGCATCACAACAAATATATAAAATATAAACGAAACCAAAAAAAGAAACAATCCAAGTGATTCACAACAAAACTTATAGAATAAAAGTGATTTGAATAGAAAAAAAAAATCAAAACAAAAAACAAATGAAATATGGCTTCGTTATCGCTACCGCGCGTGCTCCAACCGAGGAAGACCAGCTTGGAAATTGAACGCGAACAGTTTGAAAAAGCGCAAGTAAGTAATGACGCGCCTAAACAACATATTTAATGTCAATGGTAAATTAAATAAATAAACAATTTCATTTTGTTTGTCTTTTGTTTCATTCACCAGTGAAAATTAATTTTAAACCAAGCAATGCTTTCTTTCTGTGTATTTTTATAGATAAAACACATTGTAATACGCCATCTTGTTTTGTACGTGTTCATCTCTGTCTGTTTTTGTATTTCGCACATGAGTTTTCCGACTGGTTGCAGCTTGCAGTTTACAGTTTTACGCTTAATGTGTTTTTCGCCTGGTATTTTTAGCATAAATTAGTGCAAGTCGTGCACCGGCAGGAAATCTACATACAGTTATAAACACATGAAGCGTGCGATGTGTGCCACTTCCGTCAACTCGCAGCTGTCACTCATCTTAGAAACTCATGCAACTAACATTTTGTTATCTTTCACTGATTAGCCAATAATGCAATTGATAAGTAATCGGGAATACCTGTAACACTTCAAGGACTTACATAATAATATCAATAAACAGTAGTTGAATGTTTATGAAACATAATATTTAATCATGTCGCGATTGTTTTCTTTAACTTGTTTAGATTCTTTCTTATTAAAGCACCTACATACATATTTATTCATTCAAGTCGGGTTAGTCATCATAGATTCTGATCGTTATGGAGGTATGCTTTAGTTTAATGTAAAACGATCGTCAAGTACGCACGTGATAAGCGAATACATGTAGGTATAAACCCAAACATGGGTGCGCGGTCGCAATAATAATTTTTCCACGACTTCCATGACTCATTGTTGCTTGGACACGTATTGTTTACTTAGAGCTTGTTAGTGTAATTGAAGAGTATACACTTTGATAGAATAAACAATCAATCTTTACTTTTTTATGTGGCATTAGCTTCTGATTGCAACTTCATTTTAGTAAAAATGTAATTAATTCTATCAATAAGTTTTGCAGTTTTATTTAAAAAAGGTTAAAATAAAAAAAAGCTAATAATGAACTTTAGCGCCATCTAGGATTCAATTATTTTACTGTAACTATGATTAAATCTCTATATAAATTTTTATCGCTCATTTAACACCTTTTAAGTCACAATTTTCAATATTTTAATAATTATTCTGCTATTCGGGGCCCAGACCAATCCAACAACTCATAGTTCATCAAAATCTATCCAGCCGTTCTTGAGTTATAAATGTTGTAACTAACACGACTATGTTTTATGTATATATTGATCTTGGGACACACTGTATTTACTTAATTATAGACGCACGCTCGCGAGTAATAACAGGGTGTCATAGACGCGTTTTTTCTAATAGTTTATTTCCTGCTTGATGTCCGTACGTATTACGTTTATATACTATGACTAATTGTTAAACCACCGGGTACACAAATTACACCACAGACATTTTTTGTTATCTAAATGGTTATGGTGTAAATGTGTTAATTTAATCTAAGCTTAGAGTAAAGCTAATACTAATCATCTTCATTCATAACCTTATTTTATGTGTGTCTAAATATGTAATTAATTAAAACCTAATTGTGTTCTGTTTCTGTTATGCTTGATTCTAATTGTACTAATTGAATCATTTTGTCAGCTTCTCCTCTTTGCGTCTTATTATATTGCACTTAATTACTTAATTAGTTTTTGTTATTACAGTACAAACTTCCAATTAGGAGCAGAGCAACTGCGTTTTAATTGATTTTCTGCATGTTTCCTTATTTCAGATTGCCTGCTGCTAAACACGCATGATTATCTCGCTCTCCCAACCTGACTAAAACAATAATTTCAACTTAATTAACGTTAAAAGCTAAAATTATTAAATATTTAATCTTTTATTAACTTCTTTCTATAAAGTTAATTTAAAAAGCTCCAAGTAGATACCTGTTAATTAGAAAAAAAGTAGTTTTTATTATATTTTATTTTATAAACGAAAAATAAAATTGTAACACGAAGCGAAAATGAGCGAGCGATCGTTGAGACCGGATCCAATACACGAGGCGCAATCAGACAAAGCGTTCTATAAGCATGTAAGTAAACACAATGGCGGAGTGTACACGAAAACAACATGACACGCTTAGATTACAAGTGGAAGGCTTAGAAAGATTGCCGAGTTGATTATGCCAACATTGCTAATGACTACTGAAGTTTGAGTTAATTTTATTACTCTGTTTATTTAGCGTCTAGCTTTTTGTCTAGGTTTAAATTTCACAGCAGAAAAGAGAAGAAAAAATAACAGGCTTGTAAATATTAATCTTTTAAAGTAGCAATTTAAACAATGCATTCATTGACTGCACTATATGAGATGTTAAATTAATTCTTCATTGTATGATAATTTCCAGTTATTAACATTCTCTAATTCTGCAATTCTCTTTTTTCATTCTTCTATTGAAATCTGCATAATTAGAGCAAAGCGAATGCAATAATTGTGCGTGAACAATACCAACCATAGCGTAAAGGTAACTTCAGTTCAAAATGGTCGCCATGTCTATGCTGCTCTGACAATTACAATCACATAAATGTCAATTTTCGTGCATTTTCCTCCAAATTCCAATTTTAAGGTTATCGTTACATTAATTTAACCCTTTTTTTCGCGTTGATTATTTTATATATCATTGCAATGTTTCGTTTACTGCGCGTTTTGAATATAAAGTACAAAATCCAGTGTTACCTATTATCGCTATCGCGTTGATTTATTGCGTACACTTTATCGTTATCATCAGCGATAATATGTCGTCCGCGGCGAGTCAAGTGGTAACCGAAATTATATCGAGAATGTCACAGGAACTGAACGAAATCGCACCATTTACACCGGAGAATCGCGCTGATTGTGTCACAAAATGGCCGCTGGACAATGGCGACATTAATCGTGACGAAAATGATGCAAAACATGTGGTTTATGTCCGTCAGAATGCAGATTATGTCAGTTTAAGCACATGTCTACGATGTAAAGTGGACGCGTGTTTTTTGGTAAATAATATTTAGCTTGCAAAACCGAGGAGAATGCAATTGAATACAATTACAAGATGGCGTCTTAATTATTTTAAATTTTACTCAGAAATAATTGCGGTGATTTTATTTTTTGTTTTATTTTATAGTCGATTGCTATCCAAAAAGCAATCAGTCGTGAAGAGACTGCTGTGAAGCAGAAACATGTGCGTTCGGCAATTATTGGCACGTTCCACCATCAAGGCGGAGATGTTTTCTGGAGCATCGCCGTTAGATTACCCTACATGGAAGACATGATAGTCGCGTGGAAGTTTTGCTATGTTTTGCACAAAGTTCTACGCGAGGGTCATCCACTTTGTGTGGTGCACAGTATGCGCCATCGTGGATTACTCGACCAGATTGGAAAATTATGGGTTAGTAATCACAAAATCATAATTATTTATTTAAAAATTTAATTCTTAACTTTTTAGGGACATCTTGATGGCTATGGGAAACTGATCAAACAATATACCTATCTTTTAATCACGAAACTTGAGTTTCACAACCGAAATCCAAAGTTTCCCAACAATTTAGCTCTGACAACCGATGAGCTTCGATCGATTTGTGGAGGCAATGCTGACATCTGGTGAGTAGGCTAAAAATATCTAACCTAACTTAACCTAATCACTTGCATCTATAGTTTTCAGCTATCTGTTGAGATATTTGACTATCTCGACTGTATTTTGGAACTGCAGAAGTCAATTTATTCATCGCCGGCGAGTTCAATGACAATGCAAGGACAATGCAGGCTGGCCGCCATTATCCCATGCATTCAGGATGCTTCCAGATTGTATGATCACAATGTAAAGATTTTGTACACGTTGCATTCGATGGTGGATTATGATGCGTTGGAAGGTCATCGCCATCGTTTCGGCCAACAGTATAAACTGATGAAGAAATTCTATGACCACACTAATAATCTACAGTATTTTAAGAATTTGATTTCTATACCTCTATTGAGTGTAAGTATGAACCACCCTGACAATTGTCACAATATTTTGTCATTCATTTCATCCATTTTGTAATCATCACATCATTCATCTCTAAATTCATATTAAATGGGAAATTCTTTGTCGATATTCAGAAGAAATGTCTTGCAGGATCAACCCAATTTCAAGGCAAACTTCAACACGTACGTTACACAAGAAGTATACGTGCCTCAAGAGGTGGTGGAGCCTGAAGAAGAGGCGGCGAATTTGATCGATGTGAATTTGATAGACACATCAGATGCGGCGTCGGCGTTGCCTGACGTTGTTGATACGGTGCCTCCAATACCGCCGAAACCGTCAAGTCATTTCATAGAGGCACCTCCACCGCCGCAAATTGATATCATTGTTGAACGCGATAATATCATCAAAAGTCTTCACGAGAACATTGCTCTTTTACGTGCGGAAGTAAAAACGCTTAACGACGATAAGATCGAGCAGGGACGTGGTTATCAGACGCAGATTGGGCAATTGCAGAACCAGCTCGTGTGCGCTGAGGAGGAGCTTGTGCGCGTTAATGAAATGCACTCAGCTAATGATCCGAAGGAAGTCGGTAGGTACCATTTTGGTGATTTCAAACGAGCAAGACTAAATAAGCGCACTTTTTGACTCAATTGATGCAGTATCATATCAAACAAAGTCGATTTTTTTAATTTTCACTTAACTAACTAACTGGGCACATGTAAATGATCAATAGTACTAACCAATAAATTTCTAATCTTTGGTGTTATAATACATTATTCAAACCTCTAAATACATAAATTTTTATATTAGAGAAAATCAAGTTGGACAAGGAGAAGATTCAAGCGTCTTATAAGCAAGTACGAACGGAACACATTAATTTATTGAGAGATGTAAGTCTATTTTATATAAAATGAGAAAAATATTTAAAATGTATATTTTTGTTTCATAAAGAAAGCGAAAATCGAAAAGTCACTGAAAATTGCTGAAAAGTCCCTTGCTGAAAGTCAAGCCAAAAATACTGAAATTGAAGAACAATTGGCATCTACCGAGCAAAAGATTGAAGCACTTGAACTGCAATTACGCGCAGCGCAAGAAACATCTGCCAAGTTGGAAAGCCTCAAACTTGATCAACAAGGACGTGATGATGAAATTCAAGTAAGTTGTTATTAATAAATAATTTTTTTATATTCATTCTAATTCTACATTGTGTTTAGGCTTTAAAGCAACAAATTGAAGCAGCTCAAAATGTAAAAGACACTTTATCACATGATTTAGAAGAGGCAAAACGACAAAATACAGCATTAGAAGCCAAACACAACGAATTATTGCAAGTTATCAACGATAAAGAACAAGAAATTACTCAAAGTAAGTTATTGTGGTGGTTTCATGTGTTAAAGCAGTTGTAAATTTATGTTTATTTGTGGTTATAGCAAAAACCGACAGTGAGGACAAATTAAAAGCATTGTTACACGCGTGTATTGAATCAAATATCCGTATTGTACGGCACGCTGTAGAGGAAGTGGATAATCCGGCACTTTCCGGTTTAATATGCTCACCGGATTACCTCAACAGTTTATCAACCTCGTGCGAAGAGGCGTTATCATCAGCCATTTCATCCGAAAGCGTCGGAATGGCGGATATTTGCGACATTGTCACGCGAATCGCCCACACTCACTCAAACTATATCATTCAAGGACGAGCGACGTCGAATACTTGTCCTGATATTTCATTCGGCGAAAGTAAGTTACAAATATTTACGTTAACCATAATATAAAATATTGCTTTGTTTAGAAATGGCCGACTCGTGTAAAACTCTCGGTCAGTCAGCGGCCATCTTGTTAGAAAGCATGAAAAACACCACGGATGTTACAAAACAAGTTGACACGTGCAAAGAGTGTCTGATGACCGTACGAAATCACACCGAAGAATTAAACGGTTACGTACGTGGCCATTCGAGTGAGAATTTAGAATCAATGCTGGAGGCAGAAATGCAAGCGATGGATAAAGCCATCGAGGATGCGGTGAAGCAAATGGAGGAAATGCTCAACAAGTCACGCGCTGATCACTCCGGTATTAAACTGGAAGTGAACGAGCGTATCCTAGACAAGTGCACTACTTTAATGGAAGCAATTCGTATATTAGTGCAAAAGTCACGGCACTTACAGGCGGAGATCGTCGGTCAGGGCAAAGGTACCGTCTCCAGCAAAGAGTTCTACAAGAGGAATCATCAATGGACGGACGGATTTATTTCGGCAGCGAAAGCCGTAGGCGCATCGGCGAAATTTTTATTGTAAGTTACCCATAACCTTAAAAACTAACCTCAAACTTAATTTCACTTACCTTTTCTTTGTAGGAGTGTAGCTGACAAGGCAGTAGCAACCGATGGCAAGCTGGAACCGCTCGTGGTTGCCGCGCAGAACATTTCCGGATCAACAGCGCAGTTAGTGGTCGCGAGTCGAGTGAAAGCCGACAGGAATAGTTCAAATTTGAGGGAATTATCGGCTGCGTCAAAGAATGTTACCAATTCAACGGCCGCCATTGTAGCAACAGTTAAAGATTGCGGTAAACTGATTGATGAGACCATGGATGTGGACACGAGTAACCTCTCGCTGCACAATTCCAAGAGATTAGAAATGGATTCGCAAGTGCGCGTTCTTGAGCTGGAGAAGGAGTTGGAAATGGAGCGGCTGCGATTATCACAGTTACGAAAACATCACTATCAGCTTGAGGAGGAAGTGGAGAAGCAGATTAGCAATGGGAACTTTACAAGCGCGTTCGGTTCCATTCCTAATAATTGAAATCGGAGCTGAAATAAGAAAAGAGAGAAAATGAAATGCAGAAGAAGCTTGTAGTAATTTTGTACCCGCATTTTATATTTATAATCATGTACTTTCAATCTCCACTTGCTAGAGGTGGATGTGGACTGAGCTGAGTGTAGTTTTAGAGCTATTTTAACAATGATAAAGCGAGTTAAGACATGATTACGCATTATGTAGGCACAATAACGAACGGTAGCTATGACCACCAATAACAAACAATAATATTACTAATTTATATACGTTATTACCTACGGTTATGTTATTATAATTGTGAAATTTACGATATTACACGGATGTTGTAGATATTTATTTCTTAGTTTACTGTCATAACCACACAACTTTTGCATTATTATCTCTCGAATTTGTTTATTGCAGGTGGGATACATTTCCTGTATAATAAGTTGCCTACACTGCATGATGTATTTGATTGGAACAGCGCATGACTTTGACAATGACAGGAGATCAGTTTCTGACAGCGTCAGAATCGCAGATCGCATTCGTCAATGGCCGAACGAATCACCAACGATTGCACTACAACCGATTGTACCATTGGGCATCATATTCTCGTCAGTCATTGGTCGGTGTAGTGTTTATATCCAACCGCGTTCGACCAAAACACAAAACTCAGCGCAAAACCAAACGAAAGTAAACAATTGAAAGGGCGCAAAGTCGCAACCAGCTTGTGGGTGACAATGGAGAAGCAAGAAATAGACATGGCGCATACATTCCTCACGGACCAAAGCTACATCATGACGTCGGAGGACATCGAAGGTAATATTCTATTAAACTATTATAAACAAACTAAAACTACTCTTAAACTAATAAATAAATTTAGACGCGGACGATGCATTAGCAGCAGAGAATACAGACGATTCAAATCATGAAGATCATAAACTCGGTGTGCCGTTGCGCGAACAGGACCGCTTCCTGCCAATCGCCAATGTTGCGAAGATCATGAAGCGTGCCATTCCCGAAACCGGAAAAGTAAGTAGCACCAACAAAGTAAGTATGCACCAAACCAGCGCACACTGGGATGCAAAAACCATTCCAACTTGTGATTGTCGTGGCTATCGGGGACGTATCTTTGTTACAGATTGCGAAAGACGCACGCGAATGCGTGCAGGAGTGCGTCTCGGAGTTTATCAGTTTTATCACAAGCGAAGCGAGCGAACGGTGTCACACCGAGAAGCGAAAAACTATCAATGGTGAAGATATTTTGTTTGCAATGCAGGCGCTTGGATTTGATAATTATGTTGAGCCACTAAAGTTATATCTTCAAAAGTTTAGAGATGTAAGTAAAATTAATCAAGTTAGAACATTGTTACTTACTTAACATTTAATTATTTTGATGTTTTAGGCTTCAAAAACAGATAAAACTCTTTCATCACCTGACATGGCCTATGAAGAAATTGACGAGTCATTTAGTAAGTACTTTCTGACGCAATAAACGCATACTTCTGCATGGAATTTTTGATACCTTCTTTTTCTGTTAATATGAACTTATTTTAACATAATAATTGCTTTTATATCAACAGATCAAACAATAACAGGCACTTTAATGCCGGATTCGGCAAATGGAGAAACTGTTATCTACACATATCAAGACAACAATTTGCATCAATTCCAGCTAGGATAAAATCCATCAAATTAGCTTAGGTCTCTTCTTATGCAGAAATATTTTAATTCTATTAGAATAAGATTAATTTATATTAAGTTTTTTGTTCTTTAATAAAAACTAGCTTTGATAATACTATTAATATTTTACTCTACACTGAAATTGAAATGTATTGTGAGGAGTATTTTATGGGCGAATTGTATGCATACAGTAAATTTTAAGTAAATTATACTTAATTTTATTGTTTTCTTGTTTTTTGACGAATTATATTAACAAAACCTACGCCTTGCGCGGAGTGGGCTTACCGCCTTCACGGAATCCATTGCGGAAACGCCTGTTTACAAGCTTGATGTGGCGGAGGCGGCCGGTACCAGTGGTCTTCCTCCTCTTAGCCTTGATTGACCAGTTGTCTAAAACATTCATATTTTATTTTCTTAATCTTACATTGGGTAATTTGATATAACTTACATGAGCGCATTTTAGCCGCTGGGTAACCACATTGAGCACACTGTGACTTCTGGATGTGGTAAGACGACCTGCCGCAACGACGGCACAGAGTGTGCGTCTTATTGCGGCGTTTACCAAAGCTCGATGTACCTTTAGTCTAAAACACAACAAGAAATTAAAATCACATTTAAACGTACCATAATATAGAAAATTGTGTGCGTTGAACATCTTGGAACATCATAAACACCACAGTACTCGCGCCACATAACCCCCAAAAAACACAGATCGTAACTTTCAATCACTGAAAATTTTATTAAAACACCCGAAATCACTTTGATATTGCTACAAAAACATAGCTAATTAATATATATTCACACTGGCAATAAGTTTTATTCGTTTTTGGTACGGATGTTTAAGATATTTCAAGATTTTTCAGACATTTCAAGGAGAACCTACCATGTTTGTTAGTTACAAACCGAAGAAGAGAGTGCGTTGTTGCCACATGTGAATATTGTCACTGTCAGTTTACGAAGGTTGCCGAACATGCACGATCTATCACAAGTTTGAACTAAGTTATCTAGCGGACAAATTCAATTCTTCTTACTTTAAAATACTTATATTTATAAACTCCGCTAATAAATAGGACAAAAATTAATAAGTTACGTACTATTGGATTAAAATTATTATTTATTTCACTAGATTTTCAAGTAGTTTGTTTGTTTTTCATGATTTGCATTGAATTAATTGTTAAATCCAAAATGGCGGCAATTTTAATTTGAAACTTGAGAGTATCAATCATAATAAACATTGTTTTCGTGCAGAAAATTGCAAATCCCATACCTCGAGTGCAGCGCGCGCGCCTAATTTATGTTATTTATGCGAGGCGAAATGTTGTTAGCGACGCCGAAATCACAGCGACGATGGACGCCGCGCCTGCACGCACTCGCGGCGCTCGCAGTGCTAAAAATAATTAACATCATCGTCGGAGAGAGTCGGCGGTGCGGCGGCGGCGGCGGCATAAACATGCACGCAGCCTGTGCGATTAGTCGTGCGCGCGTTCAACGGACGTCGCGGCCCAATTAATGTCTGCGCGAAATTCATCCAGAAGAAAAAACCGCAGCGGCGGCTTCAACCGAAACAATCCACCACAACACACCAATCAGTCATCATTGTGTGCTCGTGCGCCGCCACCACGCAAGATGGCGAACGTGACGTGACTTGTGCAGTGCGACAATTCTCTTGTGTGCACAGTTAATGATTATAAGCGAATATAAAGCGTGCGTGGTAATTAACCAACGAGGGATTTATTGTAAGTCGTCTTAGCACACTACGTCGACATCGAGAATTTAACCGGTTTTCACTAGTCAACTTTCCGCACGTGCATTGTGTGTTGCCGTGCGTCAAACAAGTGTGAATGCGATTGTTTTCAAAACAAAAACGAACTGAATCAAAACTAAACACTCCAAACTCATTCAATACAAGCACTGCATTAAAAAAAAAGCATACACAAATTACATATTCACTCTAACTTCTTTATTCGCAACGTATTTATAAATATATGTATATGAATTTTAATAATAGAAGCAAAATGTGCTCTAATGTGATGGATTAGTGGTGTGTTCATTTGGTTGCATAACTATCAGATAAAAACAAGAAGAACAAAAGAAAACGAAGTTGAAACGAAACAAAGTGCGTCGAATGTCTGGACAAGATGATTTTCATCGGTGGATCTCACAACCACAGCAAAAAGAAAAGCAGCAGTACTAATAATGGCCATCGAAGGTCCGAAACACGTCAGAACCGATCTTGGACATCTGAGGTTAGTTTACAAATCACTCCAGTTTGACAGCACATTTAAAACATCTTTTATTACTACGCACGACGCAGAATAATTAAGTAATTAAGTAATGATTAAGGTAAGCTAATCTTTAAATGTTTATATGACCGTAATTAAACGCGTGCGCAAATAAACATACCTCGCATGTCAAAAGATTTTAAGGTTATGATTTTTTCGTTTTGAGAGAAATGCGCTTTGAGCGCGAGCAATTCGTGGATAATTTTATAGCACTTGCTCACGCAGTTTGGTGGAATGTAATCAAAATCCATGGCTATATGCACATAAATTATCGATACACATGTGCGATGTGCGTACATTCGCGCTAGCAAATGTTTACGAGTTTGCAGAACAAGTTTGTTTGGGAGTTGGTGGAACCATTCTCACGAGAATCGATTGAGTAATAAAATAAATTATAGATTAAAACAACTAAGAAACACGCTTTATTGGTAAATCGAATTGAAAAGTTGATAAGAATAATTATTTATATAAGAACAAGCTTTTGCCCGCGACTTCGTCTCGGTAGTGTTTAATAAAAATGTAATTCGTTTTTACTCTCTTGTTCAAGACATCGTACCTATGAGGCAATTCTATCAATAAAAATCCCAATTTTATTTTAAAGAAATCAATTATATAAAGAATTGCTTATAATGCACTTCAGCGCGCCATCTCGGATTCAACTATTTAACTATAACTATGATTGAATCTCAATGACAACTTTTATCCTATAGAAAAGGGCTAAGTCTTTAAGGTTTTCCCGGCAATAATTCAAATTTTTCTTGTCGTAAAAACCATCCTTGGACTTCAACAAACATTTAAAAAAAAGAATGGGTCAAATTGGTCTATGCGTTGTTGAGTTATGCGTTTACCAACCGATTTTGCGATCCATTTTTATATTATAGAAAAAAATATTAAATGAGAATACTAATATTATGGTACAAATATGCAAGTGAAGCTAATAAAAACGCATGTAAAACTTCAAAATTTACCGAAGATATTTTTGTAAATTTAATTAATTTTGGTGAATGCGCCGGTTATAGTTTTTATATAGTTTTGTCGCGCCTCCACCAAAAATAATTTTTTTAATGTAAATATTTTCCAATCGCTGATTACCAAGCATATTGCTTTAATTTTATGATATTTATTCAGACTTAAAGTGTATCCTTAGCTGCAGACCGTATGTATGCGCGGGGTGGACTCGCCGAGTTTTTTCACTTTTTCATCCTTATAGGCGAATTTATTGGCGTTCTATTAATAAAAATGTTTTCTCGCACGACGCGAGCGAGATGCGAGCGCATTCCGCGCGCCACACGCCGATTTCGATTCGAATCGGAATTTTATACATTCACAAATATACATAATACAACTAACTACGCTACAACGTGATTGCAACGCGTTTAAGCGTTTGAAGTTTTAGTGGTTTTAAACTGCGCGCGATTTAAGAAAGAAATCAAAAATTCATTTCGGAAAGCGTGCAGCGTAGAAATATTCTTTGTGGTAAATATTTATTCAACCTCAATACGTCGTAGGTTTTTTGACGCGTTGCTTCAGCTCAGCGTGTTTATCTCAGCGTTAATTTTTTTACCTTTACGGCTTTTTTATTACTCACTTTACTCACTTTAGGAGAGATTATGTGACAGTTGATTGACTTTTGAGCGACATTTGATATTCTACATTTGGTGGGTTTTCGGTTCTTTATCCTACTAAAGAAATATACAAAATTTCTTTCAAAAAATTTGGTAAAAATTGGAAAAAAGTTAAAAGTTTCGTAATCTCTGGGATCATGGTTATTGCAGCATAAAAGAAAACCTTCTGTGTCTTGGAAATTAATTAATATCTTTAAAACTATTAGAAATAAAATTTTAATATAAAAAATATACATTGTTGACTAAATTTTTCACCTTTCTGCGTTAATAAAATGTTGAAAATCATTTTACAAAATGATATAGGTACACGATTTTAGTTCGATCTTGAAAAATTTAGAAAATTGAGTCGTAACTATGAATAAAAACTGAAATTAATAAAATTTTTCTGTGAGTAGCTTATAAATTTACTACTATATATATTTCCAAAGAATGAAATTGATACGTTTTTGTTTAATTTATAATATAAAAATAAATCGCAAAATCTGTTGGTAAGCTCATAACTCAACAACGCTTATACCAATTTGGCCAATTCTTTTTTTTTAAATATTCGTTAAAGTCCAAGAATGGCTTTTACGGCGAGAAAAATTCAAATAATTGCCGCAAAAACCCAAAATCAGCCCTTTTCTTTAGAATAAAAGTAGGCACGATTGTGATTCATAGTTATAATTAAATAGAATCCGAGTAGCAATTCTTTATATAATTAATTCCTTTAATATAAAATTGCAAATCTTATTGATAGAATTGACACATAATCTGTTTAGGACAAGAGAGTAAAGACGAATTACATTTTTATTAAACACTACCGGGACGAAATCGCATGCAAAAGCTAGTTATTATTCAAAAACTAATTTTTCAAGCACCAGAATAACAAATCATGTTTCAGTTCACATTTCACTTCACAACAACAAATCGAAAACTTCACATAAATATAAATCAATTGATTTATGTGTTTTCTGAATTGTTTGCATTGTGAAAATAAGGAAATTAGGAAAATCGTCGAATTTCCACCAGTTTTCCAAACTGTGTGCGCGCACGCTGAGATTTACGTGAGTCAGACGTGAGGAATGCCGAAATAGACGAGTTTATTACTCCATCCGAAACTTCCACGCGACTTATATATATTATATAAAAAGCGCGGCGTGCGCGCGCGCGCCTTGCCACCGTCTTTGTATGAGTTGTGCGTTTTCCATTGCACAAAATCGGTCATTCGGGCGCTATTTAATTTTACACGCATCGTAACACTCATAACGCACCCAACGCGCGTAATTTCCACCGCATAAATTTCAAACAAACGTTTTACGCTCGTACAATTTGTAATTTACCACGATACATTTTTTCATGTGTTAAATTTATTGCGCTGTGTGACAGAATATAAAAATTATTGAGAAATTATTAAAAATAGATGTTTATTACATTGCGCTATCTGTGGAATAGTTTAGAATTAAATTAGGTTATATACACATGCATATAAAGTGCATAGCGTTGGAAATTAATATATCTATCTATAATATAAAAATAAATTGCAAAATCTGTTGGTAAGCGCATAAGTCAACAACGCCTACACCAATTTGGTCAATTCTTTTGTTAAAATGTTCGTTAAAGTCCAAGGATGGTTGTTACGGCAAGAAAAATTCGAATAATTGCCGGAAAAGCCTTAAAGACAGTCCTTTTCTATAGGATAAAAGTGGGCATTGAAATTCAATTTTAGTTATAGTTAAATCGTTGAATCCGAGATGGCGCGCTGAAGTGCTTTATTAGCATTTTTTTATATAATTAATTTCTTTAAAATAAAATTGCGAATCTTATTGATAGAATTGACACAAACTAGGTTTAGAACAAGAGAGTGAAAATCAATTACATTTTTATTAAACACTACCGGAAGTCGCGGGAAAAAGCTAATAAATGAATAATTTTGGTTAAAATCAAGACCATTTCATATTTATCATTAGTCAACCACAATTTTTGAAATATTTCAAGTTACGATTCAATAAACATGTAATAAATATGAATATAAACCAAAATGACTAATACAAAGCATCCACATAACCAAACCTTCACCCAAAATACTGTAGATGCCTTTCAGCATGTGTTTAAGCAATATAAATGTATTTCAGTAATTGCTGGCGCTTTTACGATAAATTCCAATCCAAAAATTCTCATCGCTCTCACACATTTAACGACTTTTTCGTATGTTTTATTTGTTTTGATTTCATTCAGCTTCTTCATTCACGCTATACATGCGTGTATTTGGTTGCCAACAACCAGTTCGATGGAAAAATGCCGCGTGACACATTCTCGAAGTGATGCATTATTCAACAATTTTCACACCATCTTCAAAGCGGCCAAAATTTCCCAAAAGTTGTAAAAAATAAAATAACTCACATAGCAATTGCTTTCATATAAATCTGAACATCTACTCATGTTTTCTTTCAGTCGATGAAATATTGTTCAGCAAATAAGACGCAGAAAAAGTTTAAATTAATAAATTAAAGATTTGTGTTAATAATTATTAAGTTTTACAAAAGAAATATGAAGTTTTTTATGGTGATTAATACTTCACTATGGTTTTTATAAATGTGGCAGTGAAAGCATTTAATTTTCAGCGGTGCAAGCAAATTGCTTTTATAAATAAAACGCATGCACGTTAAATTTGAGCTTTGTTCACATCAATTTGCACTTCCGCTCATTACGCTCGTTTTATTGCACGTATAAAACTTATGCTTATTTTATATTTCGGTAAATTTGCCAACACTTTTTAAAAAATGTGTCGACCAAAAATAAATTCACCTTATTTTCATAAATTACTAAATTTTTTTCTCCAGGGTAAACCAAGAGTGCCAAAAAGCAGAAATTCGGAGACAACGCTCTCTACTATATCGACACAATCAACTCAATCAACGACGCCATTGTTGGCATCACGATGGGAGCCCGAAGGCACCGAACCTATGTTGCGATCGCCTGCGAAAGATATTGGAAGACGTGGTGCACTCAAACATCAACGGTAATTAAAGATTTAATAAAAATATTATAAAATTATTTTGACGTCGTCATTTTGATTGCAGTGTTCATGTAGTCAAAGGACACAACTTTCTTGCAAAGTTTTTCCGTCAACCGACATTTTGTGCATTCTGTAAAGATTTCCTTTGGGGTTTTGGCAAACAAGGATATCAATGTCAATGTAAGTTAACCTACAAATTATTTTCAACATTCTTTTTTTCAAAAATTTGGTTTTTAGTGTGTCAAACTGCAGTACACAAAAAGTGCCATGATAAATTATTAGGAAAATGTCCGGAATCTGGACGCAACTCAGAAAGTACAATAGTAAGTCATAAATAAACATAATAATAATAATAATTGAGTTTAATTAATTATTTTTTTGTAGTATTTAAGAGAGCGTTTCAATATCGATGTTCCACATCGTTTCCGTGTGCATACATTCATGTCGCCGACATTTTGTGATCACTGCGGCTCACTACTCTACGGCATTTACAAACAGGGACTAAAATGTGAAGGTAGGCAACACACATAACTATTATAACATAACCCAACACAAACACAAACATTTTGACAGTTGACAAGTGTAAGAAATGGTCAAAACTGACGTGTACTTAAATTAGGTGTGAAAATACAAGTGTCAACTGTGAAAATGATTGCAAATTGCAAGTGCAATGTGGGTGTTAAGTTAAGTTGAGGAAGCTTTTCGTTTCGTAATGGTTTTTTATGCCAACAATAACAATATGCTATCCAAATATTCTCGAAATTAAATTTCAAGACTTGCATTAAATCTCAACTTCACTTAACACCACAATTATTTTTCGAATCAATGAATCAACATGAGCGAAACGTCTCGATAAATCTCGCAATAGATCATTTTTTAAACCAAAAACTTGAGTTTTGCCAAAAACAACAAACAAGCGATGACAAACGCATCGCGTATGACTCAGAAACGTATTTTTTTACTTTATACAATCAACATCGCAGTAAAAACGCAAGTGTATATTGAGTTGCCTATCTTAAAACTTAAAATTACATTTTTTAATATACAAAGTGTTGTAGGAAACTTTTTCACATGTTGTGTTAAATGTGGGAGTAGATATTGATGTGGACGAGTATCACATGTGAAACTTTGAATGGTGAGCGTTTGGCTAACTGCCAAACGGCGAATTAAGAAAAAAACACATACACCGACAGATTAAGTGCGCGTGGGTTGAGATTGAGGCGAGATATCACTGCTAGCGTTCCTCGTGATCGCCACTTAACATTTAAATGTGGTATTAAGGCGCATTAACGGCGAAACAAAAAATATCCCTGTAATTTACAACGCCAAACATGTATCAAAACAGTTCTAGTGTGTTTGTATGCAACCAAAACCACATTTAAGTTGTGAGCTATTCTCGTTTACTGAAATTTATCATCACTTTAATTTGAATTTAAAATTTAAAGGAAATAGCTTTTTTTTAAATAAAATCAAAGGACTTGAAAGCTTTGTAGACCAAAGTCGGCAACCAGTCATACAGAGCTTCCATAATTCCGCAATTAAAATTGATTTACGAGCTTCCGCGGAACAGGAATACCAAACAAAACAAATTAAATTAACTTGAGGCACATTAACTGGGTTTACATTGGTGTAACTATAATTTTTAACAATAAATATTTATGTTTCTATCGTTTTTTGTAATAAAAATTAAAAATAATTTAGTTGAAATCAATTTAAACCTAAAAACATCTATAATATAAAAATGAATCGCAAAATCTGTTGGTAAGCGCATAACTCAACAACGTGTAGACCAATTTGGCCAATTCTTTTTTAAAACTGTTCGGTGAAGTCCAAGGATGGTTTTTACGGCGAGAAAAATTCAAATAATTGCCGGGAAAACACCAAAGACAGCCTTTTTCTATAGGATAAAAGTTGGCATTGAGATTCAATTATAGTTATAGTTAAATAGTTGAATCCGAGATGGCGCGCTGAAGTGCCTTATTAGCAATTCTTTATATAATTAATTTCTTTAAAATAAAATTGCGAATCTTATTGATTGAATTGACACAGACTATGTCTAGAACAAGAGAGTAAAAACGAATTACATATTTATTAAACCCTAGCAAGACGAAGTCGCGGGCAAAAGCTAATAAATTATATATTTTATTATCAGTCGGAAATCTTTTTAATTGGATGTTTTGATGCCAATTAAAAATCAAAGATAAAATCAATGTTTTAGATCTAATTTTATAAACTCTGCTTAATATACCTGAAAATGACAGATGCAACAGGTGTAATTTATAAACACTAGTACGTGCTGATCGTTCGAATGTTCCGAAATGTTTTTTTTTTTTGCATCCACGCGGAACATAAATTAAAATCGAAACGCCCGCGTAGATATACGAGCAATTTCAGCGCGCATTTTTATTTATAAATTCTCTGTTCAATGTTCCCGTATGATTTTCAAGGGTAAAAAAGTAATCACGGTTTATTGCCATTTGAAAAAATCAAAAATAGCAAAAAATATGAAATTATTCCGTTGGAACATAAAAATAAACAAATAAATTCATCGTATATATCAGTAAACATTAAAATTTATACTATTTTTGTATATTTTGCCATTAACTTCCGGTTGATTTACAGTAGCACTTTGTATATAGACAAAAATAAAACATGCGAAAATAGCAAACGGCAAATAGCAATTGACTTTGTTGTAAAGGTGTGCCAGATGGTGTGTGCTGCCGCTCCAAATTCGCCGCCTCGCGTATCCCCCCGCCGCCCCAGCGTAGTTAGGTCTATTTGGACCAGAAGGACAATGGATTCGCGCGTTGTATTAATAGAATTTCCCGGTGTAAATTTACTACTTTACATGTATGCATAACCAAACAACAACACAACACAACTCAAAAGTAAAATATCCCTAGATAAAAATTTTTAATTTAGGTTATGTAATGACATGTCGGTAAAACAGTTTACTATGCATGCAAAATGGCGTGATTTACGTTTATTGTGATGTTAATATTCAAACTACATTCGCAATTGTTTGTGCAATCCTGAGAGAGGAAAATGGCTAGTAGTGTGCAATACGTCAGCGCGGGCCGGGCGGTAAAAATAGGTTTTGTTTGGCAAACGTCTCGGCCGAAGCGCGCGCTCACGCCAGTACGCATTCTGTCGCGACGCACGCCACGCACATTCGCGCATTCCGCCGCCGCCGCCACCGCCACCAAAGTAAAAATCCTCCGATCTCAAAAGTGTCATCGCTCCGAATCAAGGTATCGATCAGCACGCGCGAAACAAACCGATCGATTCGGTAATAATTGGATCGGAACGATATTCGCCACTTTGCTCTTCACATCATGCGCCAGCTGCGTTGGCCCGAACCGCACATTGCGATGCGATGATGTTTACAACCAGCAGCGATCATCTACAACAAGTGACCACCACTAAAAATACCAACTACAAAGACACACTATTGTTTATGTGTGTGCAGTGTTTGTGAAAGGTGTAGATTACTGAAGTTTTGGCAGCCATCTTGGTTTTTTTTTATAATTAATTATCACAATGCCGCTGTACTCGTCCGATTTGTACTCGAGCCCTTCAAGCTCCGCCTATGCGGGATTGTACCTGCCCAGTGCATACAGCAACCACTCCTCGTTGCTGTCAGGAGCAAGCAGTTATCGGGCGCCTATTGTTCCGAAAACAATACCGCGTTTTCCTAGGTCTTACAAACCCCACTTGGGGACCATTAGTGAAGCGGCTGTTATTAGCCCCATTCGGAAGTTTAACCCTGGTTTGCTTTTGCAACATCATAGTTCTCCAAAGTACAAAGCACCTCCGAAACCTATTAAGATCAACACGGCTGATATCGACGTTTCTTACAATAAGTACAGAAAGTATGATCGTAAGACGCCCATGGCAACCAGTAGCAACACATCGGCAATATCAACTCCTGCGCCTACAGAAATCAAAAGGAGTCCGGATAAATTAAAATCTCCTAGTCCTCCCACAATGGGTTTAGCTACTTCAGCTCCTAAAACTCAAGAAGTAAATAATGATACTAACAATGAAGATTCTGGAGAGTTTAAACCTATTAGAAGAGACAGGGCTTTAGTAAGACTTCATACTGTACATAAAAAAGATTCTCCGAGGAAACAACTTCAAAATGGGACAGAACCCAAGAGCTGGAGAGCCAATTTTTATGAAGATATGAAACAACAAGAAAAACAAAAATTCAAGAAATCCCCCGGGGAGATGCTGGTAGATAAGTTTCTTATCCGTACAGAAGAAGAAGAGAAAAGACTTAAACAAGAAGGGCGTAAAATACCCAGGCGGGTTTCTGTCCGAAAACCAAGTTTTCAGGAAATATGCAGAGTTATTTCTTCGGAGACTATTAATGAGGATTTAAACCCTGGTCAACCTGAAGAAGTTGTTCGAAGGCAGAGCAAACAACTTAGTGAAGATCTTTTCAAACAGATAAGACGTAATTCTGCGGAAATTTTGAAGGAAAATGTTGAAATACTTGAAGATATGTTACGACAAGAGAATTTATTAGAAGATGAAAATAACAACACAACTGAAATTCTTACAGAAATAGAAAAACCAAAAAAGAAGAAAGTTGTTAAGAAGAAGTCCAATGAAAAGTTGGTGCTTGATCAAGAAGGAGGAGGTAATAAAAGTGGATTGCAACGTCGTGGGACTGTTAAGAAATATAGAAGAACATCTACAGATAGTTCTATCTTGAGTGATTGTTCCCAACATGATGAAGATATGGAGAAAGCTTTCCAGGAGGCTATCCGAGATATATCACAGGTTGAGGTTGAAGAGATTAGACATAAACCTAAACCTAAAATTACTGCTACTGTTGATGTTGTAGAGAGTCCTTCATGGAAGGCGGTTATTGATAATGTGGAGATTATAGAATCACCTACTACTAAGAAACCTAAAAAGTTTAAGTATAATGTGACTGTTGAAGAAATTGAAGATGCTAAGGTTCCTCCCGAGGTGCAGAGTAATAAGCATTTGCCTCAAATGAAACTTGATTTAAGTGGTAGTGCTCTGGCTATGAAAAGAGAAAGATCAAAAAGTCCTCAACCTCCTTTAGAGAAGAAACAGGAACAAGTTTTAACACCTGGTGAAGAAAAGAAGTTGGATTTGAGGAAACTATCACAACCTGGGGCTGTGTTTAACCTTAGGATGCATGGTAACCAAATGGGGAAGATATCTGAAGATGAAAGTCCACCTCAGAGTATGAAAGTTGCTCCTAAAGGATTAAAACTTGATACAAAGGTTGAATCTCCTAAGAAAGATTCACCTCTTTCTAAATTTGAAGTAGGGAAGAGTCCGTCTACGCCTAAAGTGTATGATATGAAGAAAAGCCCAGGACTGGCTTCAAAAGATGAGAATAAATCAGGAGAAAACTTTTGGGAGAAGATTGGGACCAGGGAGAGTGTTAGTTTTGATCATAGGAAGAAACATTTAGAAGAAAAGAGGTTAGCTATGTTGATTAAGGAAGAAGATGAAGAACAGGATGCTAATAATAATAATACTGGAGGGCCAATTTGGGCTAGGAAGTTTGAGCCGAAACCTAAAGCTATTGATAATTATGTTACCAAGGTTAAAACTGAAGAAAAGACTCCAGTTACTCCAATTACACCAAAAGTTGAGCAAAAAGTCACGCCTGTCACGCCAAAAATTGAAGAGAAACCTAAAACTCCTACATCTGCAAAGGTAGAAAGTCCTAAAGCTGTTTCAAAAATACCTGAGGTTAAACCTAAAGTTGAAAGTCCTAAAATTGCTCCAAACGTTGAATCTGTGGTTAAAGATGAAGAGGTCAAGGTTAAAGTGGAAGAGGTGAAGCCTACAGTTGAAGAACCTAAGAAGGTGGAAGTAAAACCTAAAATTGAAGAACCTAGGAAAGTGGAAGTGAAACCAAAACTTGAAGAACCAAAGAAAGTAGAACCCAAGGCTAAAATTGAAGAAAAACCTAAACCGTTGAAAATTGAACCAAAAACAGATGATAAATTAAAATTATCTGAAGTTAATACGAAAATTGAAGAAAAGCAAAAAGCAATTAAAGTGCTGCAAGCTAAAGTGAATGGATTTCCTAAAGCTGAAGAACAAAAGGCGCCGATTGCTGTAGATATCAAGCCTAAAATCGAAGAAAAGCCTAAACAAGTAGAAGACAAAACAAAAATTGAACCTAAACCTAAAGGTTTAATTAAATCTATTTCTGTTTTGGATGAAACAGTAGACAAACCAAAGATTGTTGAAAAATCTAAATCTGTTGAAGAATCTTTGAAGAAAGACGAACCTAAAACACCTAAAGTTGTTGAAAATTCAAAACCTGTTGCGGCATTAAAGAAATTAGAAGAAAAAATCGAACCAGTGCCAAAAGTGGTTGAAAAGAAAATTGAAAATGTAAATAGTGTTAGTGCGGTGACAAATGAGAAGGTTGAAATTCAAGTTAAACCTAAGCTAGTAAAAGAAAAATCGGTTCAAAATAAAGTGGAGGTTCCTGTTGTTTCTAAACCTGTAGTGGGTAATGTTCAACTCAAAGATGTAAAACAAAATGGAGAATTGGGTAAGATAGATATTCCAAAACCAAAAACACCTGAACCAAAACCTAAAATTGAAGAGAAACCTAAAGTTGATGTTAAGCCAAAGGTTGAAGAAAAAGTAAAACCTAACCTTACAAAACAAAAATCAGACGAAAAACCTGCACCAAAACTAATTCAAGAAAAACCCGAGGAAAAACTAACTCCCAAAATAACTAAACAAAAATCAGAAGAAAAGCCAGCACCTAAAATAACAAAACAAACAACTGAAGAAAAACCAGTTCCTAAACTAACTAAAGAAAAATCAGAAGAAGAAAAACAAAAACCAAAATTAACAAAAGAAAAATCCCAAGAAACAACAACAACATCAAAAGCTAAACTAGCAAAACAAAAATCAAAAGAAGAATCACCAAAACCAGGCTCAACAGAAAAACCCACAGTAAATAAATTCGAACCAGCAACTCCCGAAACACCAACAGTAAAACCTCCATCAGTCAAACCCGCCAAAAAAATCATCTCAAAACGTTCCCTGGTCAACAAATCAGGCATCGCGGATCCAGACTTAGAAGTCTTCAAAGCACCTACTCCACCAGCATCAGTCCGTACTCCATCACCACCTAAATTTGTCCCATTACAATCCAATCGTATATCACAATTTATGAACCAATATCTTCGCCGGAATGAGTTTGATGATAAAGGAGCTAAGATTCTCTATGCACGCCCAAAAACAATTCGTCATAGACACTACCCACGTCCACGTGTAACCGTAAAAGCAGAAAGCAGTGATGAAGAAGAAGATGATGATGAAGATGAAGAAGAATCCAGCGAAGAAGAATCTGCAACACCTACAAATCCATCAACAAATTCTACAACACCAACACCTACTAAAAAAGAAGAAAGTTCAAGTGAAGAAGAATCTTCAGAAGAAGATGATGAAGATGACGATGAGGATGAGGATGATAGTGATGAAGAAGATGATGATGTGGATTATGAAGCAATGAACGACGTTTGGGGTTACGGATCTGTGGGGGCAAGTACGTCATCAGGCGATTCCGGCTTTCACTCGGGCAACAAAGGCGGCAAACGCAAGGGTTAGCACCCTTTCTTAGAGGGCGTTTAATATTTCTCTCTAATACTATCTAATCATAGCTTTTATAGGCTTTGCTTTTGGGCTTAAATTTGGATGCTAACTTATAGTGCAGCTTATGCTACGCGTGTTTTTTTTTTCACAAAATTTTACCAAAATTTTAGTTAGAAACGTGCTAACACAAAATTTAATTGAATTTTACACAACGCCATTTTGATTTTTGCGAACGTTGAACCGCCATTACAGTTTTTTCTTGGCGTCTCTATTATTATTTCGAAGATGGATCACTTTCGTGAAAGTGTTGCACACGTTTATTTCTGAAACTCTATTTACTTTTTCGAAATGATTTTTTTCTTTTCTATTTCTTGGGAGCGTGTTTTGCTGTTTGCGTTTCCTCGATTTCGCAACACGAAAGCTAAAACAAGTACACGCGCGGCTCACAAAAGACGCTTTTGTAATTAGAGCCAAGAAAAAAAGCGAGCGTTTCGCAATTACGTCGCCAACGTTGTCGTCGTCGCGCTGTAAACTCATTTCTCATCGGTTACCATCGCCTGACACACTGATTCCTCTCTACATTAGCGGGTTTCGTGAATGTGAGGTTATGTTTTGGTTATGTGTATGTGGATTTTATCGCCTTTGATCTGGTTAATGATGCAGTGATCTGTTTATTGCGTCGAAAGTCAGGGAAATTTATCATTTAGTTTATGGTTGAAAACGGAAAGGAAATTTCGTTTTCCGACAAGTAAAAGTTTATAGGCAACTCTATATACAATCAAACGTAAACATAGATTTTATTAGGGAAAAAAGGTGAAAAATATCAAAAGATGTTTCTGTTATGTTTTAAGTAGGTGCGAATTGCGATTTTGCGATTTTGTGCATCAGGTATTTCGGAATCCGAAGATGTTTAATGTTTTTTGGCAAAACTCACGTCGGACATTTTGTTATTTGTTCGGCAGCCGGCCGACGAGACATGGATACGCTCGACCGCAATTTGCTCGCGTCGAGAGACGAGACATGTCTCACGATGCGCGTAATGAGAGAAAAAATTGCAGCCGAGTTGAGACATTTCACTCAAAACATCAGCAGATATTAATATTCTACACAAACTATCATTTGTATAATTGTATGTATACACGCAGATTGCGACGTCAATTGTCACAAGAAGTGCGAGAAACTGACGGCGAATCTGTGCGGCATCAATCAGAAGGTGATTGTTGACTTAATTGAAGATGTCAAGAGAGGTAAGAGGTATTTTTAACACCATCAAACAAAAAAAGAAAATTAATTAGGTAAAATTATGGTGGAGGCGCCTCTCATTAACTTTTCACCGCAACAGTTAGGGTAAAAGAGGGTAATGGGGGTCACTTAAGGGAGAACTCAAATATAATTTAAATTATAAGCAAAATACTTATTGCAATCGCTTATAAGCATTGTTTACTTAAATACCTATTATTTGAAATAATTTTCAGTCACTTTGACAATCAATTTTGGATATTATTAAAGTTTAAAAAAAAAACAGATTTGACTCCCATTACACCGACATGCGGGTAATGGTGGTCACCCTGGGGACAATCGGAATCAAACGAAATCTAGCAGATATCGCAAACATAATATTCCGCAAAGTCCCACCCAGTGCATTTCACATGAGCCCATAGCCCAAATGAAGTGCTATGAACCACATTTAATTGTTTTTTTTTTTAATCGTTGCACATTAGACATCAGTTTTCCAAATCTTCATCCATCGCCCTGGCATAAGTCATCAGTGCCAATATAGGAATCATAAGTTTTGTTACTTTCCTGCAGTATCGTTTCTGCATGAAGGCTATTGAAAAATAAGTCACGTTGCTTTTTATAGGCCATTTAGAGCGGACTAAAGACAAAAGCGTCCATTGGGAGTCGCATGACTCCCATTGCCCACAATTACACTATTGTGAAAAAAAAAACAAAAAAAATATTTCTTCAAAACATTAATGTAATTTGAACTGCACATCACGATTTTGAATGTTTAACTAAGACTATATAAAAGTTTCATTCGAATATTGCAAGATATTCGACACTTATCTTCTAATTTGCGTGGACGTAAAATTAGATCAGCGGAGCTCAAAAATAAAATATTGGCGTATCTCAATGATACACGCACCGATTTGCATGATTTTTTGGGGGTGGCACTGGGGGGCCAGAACGGAGATAGGAACGCCGTTTACGCGGTACTCGTAACTATTGTTTCGTGGATATATGGGTGACTCTCATTACCCGCTGACTCCCATTACCCTACTCTCCCCTAATGTTTTTTTCTGTCTAGGCAAACAAGAAGAAGTTTATTTTTCTTTTGCAATAAATATGCAACTTTAATTCCTTGAAAAAAAAATTATTTATTTTGTTTTTCTCAAAATGACAAAAACAGAACATCAGACTTAAACTATAAAATGTAAATCTGGAAAAACCAAAGACATAAAGGAAAGTTTATGAAATCAACTGTTTACCATTTACCTACATTGGTACATGTTAAAAATCGCAAAACAGCAATTGAACCAAAAAAACATTACGCTCATTACGCAATTGCAATTTCTTTTTACCAAAAATTATGTACCCGAATCAAATAATTGTGGATTTGTAGCAGTTTTAATACACCGGTGCGAACATCGTCGGACATAGAGCGGTCGACAACGCCGCAGCACCGGCTGATAATGTGCGCCAAATTATTTTTGGACTTTTTGGCTTTCGACCGCGCGCACACGTATCACGGCTACGCGCATACGTAAGCACGCGTCATGTGCTCGAGTGCTGCGTGCGAACTTTCGAGCTAAAGATATTCGACTACAAATGGACCACAAAAAATCACATTAGCAACATTAAACTGATTTCGAAAATGCCGCAAACTCAACTGAAATTAATACTTCAAGGTTAATGCCTACAGATAGTGATAGGTATTCATCTGTTCAATTTAAAAATAAATATACTAGAATTGAATTGCATTGGAGTGCAAAATCAAGGTAACATTTAAAAAAAAAAAAATTTCTTATTTTGAATTTTGCTTGAAGTAAAATTACATCCTTTAATCAAATTATGCGTCATAAGTGTGGTTATGTTGTAACGGAAGTCTATGTATCTTTATAGGTTATGATATTACCGCAATAATTGAGGTTAGATAACGGAAACTTGATAATTATAGAAGTGTTGAAGGATTTTCCTCCTTTTCTTCAGTAAATACGCAAAATGTTGTAATATTTACGCAAGAAATAACCAAAACATATAAGATTCGAAGGTGGCGATGACATTGAGAGGAAATTTATGACATCGGCGAACTTGAGAGCGTCGCAGTCGTCGCGGTCGTCGCGAATTCAAAACAAACGAGCGCTTAGCGAGACAAATTGCCGCCCGCCATCGCAATCGCAAAAAAAAAAAAATAGATATAAAAAATTCCCGAATAAATTTATTAATGCATGTATACTACCAGCGGCCATTTTGAAGTCAACACCTGAACAATATTCATCACTTTCAGAGATACCCGAAATAGATTTATGTAATATTTGTTTAAAATCACAACCATCTGTTTGAATTTCTGGTTTTTATTTCGGACATTTCACTCATTGCTATTTTTAATCGACGCCGGGCGCGTGTACTGTACTTGGTTAATTTACGTCAATGCAAATGCAAATCCCAAGCAAAAAAAATAGAAATTTCTTTTGTTTTTGTTGTGTTCAAAGTGTTTTGAAAGTTTGGTTGCCTATATATACATTTTGAAAGGGCGATTTTATGACCAAACTTTTATGCTACAGTTACGCTATATGTTCTGTGATAACTAAAGCTCCGTTTTTTTGTCGTTTGCTGTGTGCTGCTGATGATGATGACGGCGCAGGATGTGGGGAACGTGACTCGCCAACATCGAATCCGGAGCGCAACCCGGCGCTGGTGCTTGACCCCAGCGAGATCGCCGAGGAGTTCTCACATTCGAGTACATTCGCAGGCTTTCAGCGTTCTGGGCGTATCACACCACCTGCGACGACGATACCAAAGTTCTGTAAATACAATGTGGAGGATTTCAATTTTCTCAAAGTGCTGGGAAAAGGCAGTTTCGGCAAGGTAGTGCCACACAAGTTGCATACATTACCAAATCATAATAACTACGTTGATATTTTAGGTGTTACTTGCTGAATTGAAGAACTCCGAGTACTATTATGCCATTAAGTGTCTCAAGAAAGATGTTGTCCTAGAAGACGACGATGTGGAATGCACATTAATCGAGCGGAAAGTGCTGGCATTAGGCACAAAGCATCCGTATTTGTGTCATTTATTATGCACTTTCCAAACAGACGTAAGTATATTCCACAAATATAACCTTAAAAATCATCATATGGTTTTTATATTGCAGTCACATTTATTCTTCGTAATGGAATATCTTAACGGCGGTGATCTCATGTTCCACATTCAGGAGTGTGGCAGATTCCAAGAGCCGAGAGCGCGTTTCTATGCCGCTGAAATTATGTCCGGATTGAAGTTTTTGCATGGCAAAGGCATCGTTTACAGGTAACATAACCTCACAAATAGAAATGAAATAGATGAAATTGAGTATCTATAGAATAGGAGTAGACAAGATGTCGCCAAAACCACACACACACACTTCTATTTTTGTTCGAGTTTAATCAACAGAAAAATTCGGTGATCGTTGATATGTCAGCGAGCAATGTTCCAAATGTTACGTTTTTTTTTCCCTGTGCACACTCACGCGCGTTGACGACGCCGAGCTTTTTTTAAAACCGACCACGTAGATTTGCATTCGCATGTTATAAACTTTACTCGCACGTGCAACACCTCAAAATGTCAACGTCAAGCAGAATATATAGAGTGTTCACTAAAATACAACATTTTCGTTAAATTAAAAATTCAAATTTAACAATTAAAACATTATATTTAGTTATTATTTGGTTTTTGGTCGATTTTGTTTAATTTTCTTGAAATTTTCTTCCTGCAGGTAGTGTTTTGCGGTCAAATCTTGGTTGAATGACCATCGAGACAAATCCGTGCGTGCAATTATGAAATGCATGTTATTTTTATATTTGTTTGCGTGGCTTTTCGGTCTGACGTGACGGCAGCATTTATAACGACTTGATTTTAGCGCAGCGCGCGAGAAGGAAATGCAGTTATTAAATCAGCGCTGCGTGGACGAATTTATCGGCGCTGTCGCGCTTGATTAAGATTAACATGCGTAGCGCATTTTTTCACAACTTTGAAGTAAAAAATTCCTTCGCTTTTATTGCGAGTCAACGACTCGAAATAATTCCAATTTAAATGAACGCGTGGAAAAATTTTATGTTTCACAGATGGAGAATATTTTATAAATATCAAAAGTTTCGTTTCAATTGAGTCACATTTATTTTTACAACTTTTTCCAAGAAAATTTCTCCATAATTTTTAAATCTCAAACTTTCTTTTTGTAGAGATTTAAAACTCGACAACATTCTGCTGGATTTCGACGGACATGTGCGGATAGCAGATTTTGGCATGTGTAAACTGCAAATATTCTTGGACAGAATGGCGGACACATTCTGCGGAACTCCGGACTACATGGCACCGGAAGTAAGGCTCCATTGATCATTAATTAAACGTATATTTAATCAAATATTGTTTTTAGATTATCAAAGGACAACATTATAACCAAAACGTCGATTGGTGGTCATTCGGTGTATTATTGTATGAAATGCTCATCGGGCAGTCGCCATTTAGCGGTTGTGACGAAGATGAGCTTTTCTGGTCGATATGCAATGAACGCCCAGTATTGCCGCGGTTTCTCAGTCAGGAATCCATCAGTATTCTCACATTAGTAAGAAGCATAACCGTTTAACCTAACTTTTTGTTTAATATGTGAAATATTTGTAGTTATTAGAAAAAGATGCAACCAAAAGACTAGGAAACAAATATTGCGAGCAGGGTGACATTCAGGATCAGCCATTCTTCCGGCCAATTGACTGGGAGATGCTGAGCATGCGCCAACTCGAACCACCATTTAAACCAGATCTAGTAAGTCAATCAAAATGGCAATAAACTGTTAATGCATGCTTTACATCTATTCAATCTATAATATATGAATTGCAAAATGTGTTGGTAAGCGCATAACTCAATTCGATTAATAGCCGGAATTATTTTTTTTTAAATAAAATTGCGAATCTTATTGATAGAATTGACACATACTATGTCTAGAACAAGAGAGTAAAAAACGAATTACATTTTTATTAAACACTACCGGGACAAAGTCGCGGGCAAAAACTAGTACAATATATTAATTATTTTTGTTTTTTTAGCAACATCCTTTAGATACAAAATACTTCGATCGAACATTCACAGCCGAACGGGCGAAACTCACACCCATCGACGCCAACATTCTCGCTTCGATGAACCAGGCGCAGTTCCAAGGCTTCAGTTACACGAATCCGAACGCTACCGACAGATAAAATGTCCTCCAAAGAAAACCACGGTAAAATTTGAAATTTTTTAAATTTGTTTCACGAAAGTGAAAACGGCGCCATTTTGGAACCCTTTTTTGATGATGAATCAATTTTACTAAGGCTTACACAGCCTAGAAAAAGCGTGAAGCTTTAAGTGACTTAAGTGCAACATTAATGTGTACTTGTATTTAATTCAACAATGAAACAAAACGAGTCACCAGATGGCAATACTTACAAATTAATATCAAGTTAAACAAAATTAGATTTAAATAGTTAAATTGACAGCGGAATAAATTTGCATTTTAGTTTAACGTAAAACAAAACAATGTTTTCTATGCAAATTACCTAATAATCTTCACAAAGAATTAATATAATTAGCAATAAAATATGCAACTTTATTAATTATTGTAATTTTAAATAATTATAGGCTTATACAAAGATATTGTAATATGATTTGTAATTAATTCAAACGTTTGTATATTATTACTATAATTAATCGATTAAAGAGCACCTTCAGGATTATAAGTCAAGACGCGTGCAACATAACCTCACACGAAGAGTTACGAAGAATAGAAGAATATGTTTTTTTTAAGAATTAATTATTTAATTGTAATAATCAAAACCGAAGGGTGGAACAACTTTATTTTGTGGATTGAGAGGTTTTACCATCATCGGCTGCATGGGTCGCTTTTGTGCTGGTGATTGCAATGGTTGAACTTTCTAAAAATATTATTTTTGGTAAAAAACAGACTTTAACAAAATCTCTACTTAAATACTTACAAAATTTGAATTATCTTTGATTCGTCTACGTAACATCTCTTCACCTTGTCCGGGTTTAGGTTCTTTAATAAAATAAGGAACCAAACCTAAATCATAATCTTTCTTTTCATTTTGACCAGGATTAGTCGCCATTGTCTCCAATTCATCACGCTGTTTATATATCATACAACACGCTCTAATTGTAAAATAATAAATAATTTCTACACCGGATAATAGACTGAATCCAAGAAAGAGTCCTGCAATACCACCAAAGGACACTAAAAGATCTACCCAACCAAAAAGTACCTCTCGCTTGTATTTGATCATCGGCCATGAAGTAAATTCACATTCAAAAAATTTAGGATTAGATTTCTTTGTTGGAGGTTCAGAATCTTCACCAAATGAAGCCTGATCAGAATCTTCACCAAGTAAAGACTGATCAGAATCTTCAGTTGAATTAGTTATTGATGAAGAGTCAGTGGTATTAGTTTCCTCTTCATCAGAAAATCTACAAATTAAACAAAAATATCGAAATTTATGTATTGTTTTGAAATAATTGTTTCTTAGTTATTACAACTGTTCGGCTGGCATTCCATCACTTTCTTCTCCTTCATTCGCAGCTTCATCGCTAGCTGCACTTTCCACCAATTTATCAACTTCGTAGATAGTATTGGAACAGCCGAGTTCACAACCACACTTCTCAATATTACTGATTTCTTTCTTATTAGTGGCGATGCACTTCAGTTGTGAGACGTTGCAGTGTTTATAACCTTCAGCAAGTGAGTAAAAGTGTGGAATACACGAACATAACCTTAAATATTTACGTTTATATTACAGAAATCTGTAAAAATATTGTGAAATGTGTTACGTGTTACCTTCGAGCATTATTCATACGGCACTGATGTGCACACGCTGCGTAAGTATAAATACTATCAATTTCAAGTTTCATTTCATGATCGTAAATACAATGGCGTTGTTTAATGCTTAGTTGTGTTGCGTCGTCTGTTGTGTAAGTTTCACGCATAGAAAAAGACATAGAACCCATTTTGAAATCCCAAACGTGTTGCGGTTTTAGGTTAATGCCTGGTAATTCGTTTGCTTTGTGAAGAAAAATCTTTAAAAACAGATTAAGTTAAGTACAAATTGATGTCTAAGTAAAATTATCGTAAATACATACCAATATATTATAATGTTCTGTTCGTCCAATAGGATCTACAGTGAATAACAAAGATAATTTGCTGTCTGTTTCTTTTATGTACATAATCGAAGATGGATCAATTGGTGGATATTCTTCCCTGAAGTGAAACATTATAAACAATACGTAAATTTAAGAATTTGCGATATTATTTACCCTGTAGGCGATTTTCTCTCATAATGCAAAGAATTAAACGCGAAACAAAATCCATTCTCAGTATAACTCGGAAAAAAACTATCACAACAATTGTAAGGTAATGCCTTCCACTTGCATTCAACCAGAAACTCTTCACATGTTACCATTAATTCATATGTCAATTTATGAAGATCTTGATCTTTCAAGATAGCGTCATACTCGCTTTGATAATCATCAGGATTCATTGATAATAACGACAATTGTGTTAAACGTTGAAGAAAATCATTCATATCTTTAGTTGCTGCTTCGTCCAAATTATGCTCAGCCCTTATTCTAAAAGATAAACAAAATATAAATCTTAATTAAATTGATACATAATCTAATTTGGTGTTTAAAAATACTTTTCAACCGAAGCATTCAATCTTTCTATATTCCAAGGCTGATTAGGACACAGTGTAACCGAAGGATATGGAATATCCCAATTGTGAAAGTCAGTATCCAGACCTGTGATAGTAGGATTCGTCTGAAACTTCTCCCAGAGACTCACAATGATGACCATTGTTGATATTGCACCGACCATTACACAAATAAACCAAATTAACCTATAAAATATAAAATTTTTAGATTTATGAGATTCTAAGGTTAAGGTTATAAAATTGAGGTTAATGAGGTTAGTTTTACCGTTCGATGATTGGTCTATCAGTTTCTGCGATATATCGAACTCCATGAAGAGTACTCTCGGCGAAAAATATTTTTCCTTGGTATTTCCAGCTGGCTTTTAGTAATTTATGCATAGGTACATGATTTTTATTATTGCGTTTCTTTGCACTGCGCCATTTATTCAAACTTGCATTAGAGCTCCGTCGAGATCTTATTGCACCTGATTTTACTTTCATTTTAGCTGTTAATTTAATTTAAATTAATCATAAAAACACAACCGTGCGGTAAAGAAGAGAAAAACCAACTGAAATTCGAATCAACATGAACAAACAAACAAAACAACGTATAACAAAAGAGTTATGTATCATAATAATCAGTTGCAGTTATGTTTTGAAATTGTTCGGTGTTGTGTGTCGTTTAGTAGATATCATCGAGCATAATCGACGTGTACAACTTAATAAATCGTATTCGGTTTTGTCGTCGTGCAATACTATAGCTCTGTAATGGATTTATAGATGTCCTTCACGATTTGCTTTTGTTATACGTGCATTTTGTCTCTTGTGATAAGATCTTGCTGCGGGTATGTGGGTATCGATTGTCAATGTCAATAACATAAAGTAAAACACTTATCGAAGGTTTTTCAATGTCAATAGCGTAGATGTTAAATTCGCTCTGCATAATGCATATTCTTTTAATGCAGGTCGAAACGTGAAAACTAATTGTGTTTTTCTGCTTCTACCTTCAAAGCGTCAGTTTTTCCACGGTTTATTTAGTATGGGAAAATCAAATTTTTGAATGCGATTTTTTCCGAAACTATAAATGTTACAAGCAACCTTTATAAACTGTATTTTCGGCATGTCATAACAAGAATCTAAAACATGGCAGAGTTAGCTTTTTTGATCATGAAAAATTAACCAAAAACCACTCTGAAACAATCAAATTATTTTCTGTCGAAACACAGGGTCGAACTTTTCTTTAAGATAATTTTCTGTCAAAAGACAGGGTCGAACTTTTTAAAATTATTTTTCGTCGAACGACAAGATCGAACTTTTTTTAAATATTATTTTCTGTTGAAAGGCAGAGTCAAACTTGGTTAAAATGATTTTTTTACTCAAACACAGGGTCGACCTTGTTTTCAAAATTATTTTTTGTCAAAAGACAGGGTCGAACTTTTCTTCAAAATAATTTTCTGTCAAAAAACAGAGTCGAACTTTTTTCTTTAATTATTTTTTGTCGAAAGACAGGGTCAAACCTTTTTTTCATTTTACTCATTAGTTCATATGGTTTACCTTGTAGATGCATTTAAGTGCAACGTGTACTTCCAGCAACACTTAATTACCGATTATCTCAGAAATTAATAGAGATAATTAAAAACGGAAAACGGCATTACGTCCAGGGAACAATTCTACATATAATAAGACTTTAAAATTTTTACTTTTGAAAGAGAGGAAAACAATTTTCCGACGCGATTTTCTCGAAAAGTAATAAAGATAGAAAGGTACTTATTGGACTTTTTTCATGCCATGATAAGAATATATAAAATGGCAGTTTCAGTTTTTTGATTTTGTAAAGTGGACATAAACTCCTTGAAAAGTGTGAAGTGGTACTTGACTACTTTTTGCATCAAAAAATAAATTTCTAGCTAGAGCAAAATGAAAATCGATAGAGAATTGTAATGCGATGAAAAAAATCCTGTCTGTTTCTTGATAACACCAATATTTCCCAAATGATCCGTGAAAATCGAAACGGATCAAATTGATCCACCGCTCCAATTTTCACGAAACTCTTAAGTTGATGTAGAATGATGTTAGAAATCCATTAGTGCAAGTTTGGTTTCGATTACCTGATTAGTTTCAGAGTTATTGACCATTTTCATATATTACATAACTGTCGGTAATTGAAAATATTAAAGTGCTGACTGATATAAATTGTATCCTTCATTCAAATGTGAAAACCGTTTTTCTTTAACTCCCTTAATTTTCACATTACGTGCGAAAAGCTAGATTATTCGTTGTCGCTAACATTTCTTAAGCAAAAATAAAAGTTGTAAATTTGACTTTTTATAATTTAAGAAATTCTGAGTTGGAATACCACCACAATTGTATTATTAGTTTTTGGAAATTTTCGTAATCACTGATTACAATGTCAGGCGCCTCTGCTAAACATTAGGTATTTATTTGCCATCATTGTAAACTGAAAATTATGTACGTGTTTATAGCTGATTATTGAAATTTAAATTCATAATAATGTATTATTTTCTACTTCCACCTTTAAAGCGCCCGTTTTCCACGGTTTTTGCCACAAAAAGTGGCCCATACTTTAAACATGGACGGCTAAGTAAGTAAAGTACTTTATTCACAGCCTTTATTCCCAGGAGCGGAGCTTACGCCTGCGCATTTGCGTACTGTGCAACACAAGACCATATGAATTGTTTGGGTGTAAAACAGGCGCTGCTGCCACTTGTGTCAGCGCGGCACGGCATTTATAATTTATATTAATACTAGCTTTAACCCGCGGCTTCCCTCGCGTTGAATCCATCAAATAAATATTAGAAATCATTATACATAGTTGAAACGGATTGATAGAAAGAATGTATATTTCACTGCTTGGCTAGGATTATCTATGTGGAAAAATTACTACGTGCAATAAAGTTTTAAATTTTAGATGGAATGCTAGATGGCGTTAAAGTAGTCAATTAGCCAGATGCAGAGGTATTATTGCCTAAACAATTTCTTTATTTTATTTAAAAATTATTATTTTTTATTGAATAAAAAAGTAGCCTATAACCATTCGGGGACCATCGGGGACCACTAAGAATATGTGTACGGATTTGATGTTGACGTAGCTGTCGGTAATACAGTGTGATGGTACTATAGTACTTAGGTGTGAGCTTCATTGCTGGAATGCTAGATGGCGTTAAAGTAGTCAAAGAACCAGATGCAGTGGTATTAGTGACTAAACAATTTCTTTATTTTATTTTAAAAAAATGGTTGTTTGTAAAGTAGGTTTACGATCGAGATGTTTACGTGATAACGTCTTATTGGTGATATAAGTTTTGTTTGTTGCAATTGTTGTAACACTTCACTTGCACTTCACATTTTGTTTTACTGTTAGGCTCCCCGCACACTACAAACTTTTTATCGGCCGATAAAAAGTTTGTAGTGTGCGGGGAGCCTAAGGTTATAACGAGAGGGGGGTATACCTGCGATCGGCCTCGTGAGGCCTCGCGACACAGTTTCTGAACAGTCACCCGACTAAAACGATTTTAAAGACGTTATCACGTCAAAATAATTATATTTATTAAATAAAAAGTAGCCTATAACCTATCGGGGACCACTAAGAATATGTGTACAAATTTTCATGATGATCGGTTAAGTAGTTTTTGCGTGAAAGCACGATAAACTTCAGGACATACGCATTTATAATATTAGTAAGGATAAGGATTTACCAGTAGAATATGAGCGAATTTCGAGGATTTGAAATACAAAATCCTCAACGTGGAAATAGAGTGGAAGTAGAAGAAATAGCGTGAAAATCACGTGGCTAAACGTTCATTATTTGAGTTGTGCCAGTTTTTTATTTGTTTGTATATTAGCAAATAATTGTATTAATTAACATTCTGAATAGTTGTGTTAATATTTAGACGACACCTACTGTTAATTACATCCTGTAAAGTACAGCCTAGCGCAACCTATGAAAGAATTTTTGAGTTACATGTACTGTATGTAATCGCGGTTACGATTGCAAAATTTTGCTAACCCTATCCCGGAGACAGCAATTTGGTTGACCCCAGTAAAAAGGGCAGTCATTTAGCCAAACCAATTATAGGGATTGGCCATTGGGCTAACAACAAACCAGTATCAAATACAAACAAGCTACAACTTCAGAAATCACTTCTAAGTATTGTAAGCCACTCCCAGATGGCACAAGCATGTACTTTTAAACTAAAAATAATCGCACGACATAAACCAAGCCTTAGCGCAATCGCAACGATCTGACTTGAAGTGACATTTATTTTCATGGTCATATACAGGACGTTTGCGTGATTGATATAATCAGGGTCTGCTTTATTTCGAAGTGTCAGTTACCAAGATGGTATGTACTTTCAAATGGGTTTAATTTTAAAAAATTCGATTAATTCTGACATTCTGATTGTGTCAAGGTACATGCCGTACTCTTAACCGCCCACTCTAACCCATCTTAGCTTGAATTATTGATGGATTCATTGATATTTACCATATTTACCAACAAGCATTGTTTATTTCATTCACCGCGTTCACGACAACACTTGTACTGATACGGAATTAAAAATATTATTAAAATTCCTGATAAAGAAATATAAACATACAATCAGCAAAATACAATATGATTTGTTTATATTTGCGTATAATTCGAATAACATCGATTGCAAAATATTTTTTACACAACTGAAACCATAATAATAACTTTTTTTTTTTTGAAATATTTATTTATTTATAATTTTTCGTGAATATTGGATTTACAATTTTATTTTGAGTTGACATGTTTCGCCCAGAGGGCATCTTCATAAACAGTTTATTCTATATATATAATAAAATTGTAAATCCAATATTCACGAATAATTATAAATAAATAAATATTTCAAATATAAAAATGGATTACGTATTCGCCAAAGAAAGTAATAAATAATAATAACTGTTGCGCGGAGTTGAATTTTAACAAGAAGGGAGAGTTTATTATTAAACGCTAATAATAATCCACTGTTGCTTAGATTTACATAGACAGAACTACTCCCGACAAAGTAACGAACTTAACTGACTTACACACACATAAGGTGGCTAGAAAGTCCCTAAGTCACTTGGTGTGAACCCCCTCCCCCGTGGCGCAACGCCACTTGTGAAAGAGCGCAGAACTCAAAAAATAACTATATTATACTTTAATTCCTAACTAAATGTGCTAAATAATTTATCAATTAGTAATAAAATAATTTACAGCCATTTTTATCTTTAACTTGTTATGATCTTAAGAAATACAATTTGTTACCTGTCACATTATTTCTAAATGCATTCCATTCGGCGATTAATAACAGCACACCATCATTACCAGGTTATGCTAATTATTCCCCCGTGTTTGTTTTGCTTGTTGTCGCTTTTTGTTGATTTTTTGTTTCGTAAACGTGAATGAACGCTTCGTTTGCAGGATATAAATACATTCAGTTACTCATCATCGTGCTTACGTGTCGTTTTCATGTACATGTGTGCATGCGCTAGTGTTGGGTGTAATTTGGAAAGAAGAAAAGTTGACAAGACAAGTCTCGAACGCTAAAAGTTATGAG